CCACCCTCATTCAGTGATCGTTCAGCGTTCAGTACCATTAGTTTGGGGCGGCAGTAGCTCAGTGTGTAGGGACTTGGCTTGGGAACCGGAGGGTCTCCGGCTCAAGTCCCACAGACCACAAAATATGGAGTGTGGACTGGTAGCTGGAGAGGTGCCGGTTTCACCTCATGTGCACAACCTAACCCCAAGCCTGCTCATGGGGCGCCTAACGTTGCAGCCCCATCACTCCACCATTCTTCTCGGGTTTCTCCCCCCTGTTTGGGCATGTCCACAAGTGCATGAAAGTGTGTGAGTATTTCAGTGTGTGTGTGTGTGTGTGTGTAAAAGAGTGAAAAGAACATCTAGGGGATTAATAAAATATATCTTCTTCTTCTTCTTGAAGTGCACAATACACTCCATGAGTTGTATATTAGTTAGAGTATGAAAGTTTATTCTTGACCTCAAGATCAATATGTGACATTACAAAATAGATTTCAAATGCATCTCACTGACTTTTTTGGTACCCAATTGACCTTTCGCTAAACCCATCCCCTGAACAGTGACTGTCCAATGACAGCTGTAGTACTTGGAGTTTGAAGCATATTGCACTTATTTTTGTCTTTCCAATACCAACATTTTATTTAGTATTTACCTCTACTAGAATAAGCTGCAGTACATTTGTGGGATTACAGGTTATATTTAAAAAAATATATATGTTCTTTACGTTAAATACATACATACAAATACAAACAAATATGTAACAACCAACAGCCAAACAGGCTGAAACAAAACAACACTTTGATACGGGTGAACTAGCTCTTCACCACAATACAAGAACAACTCTGTCTTTACTTCCATGTCTTCTAGCTACATGAGTCATCAACTGGCACTGCTGACTTTAGCCTCAGTCTTTTAGCACGACGTCATAAACGTAGCCATCAAATGCATATTTAAAGACCCCTTTTACAGGATTCTGGTTTTAAAACGAGTCAGCTTGAGAAAGTGTTCTCAAACAATTCATGTAGCTAACATTAGCTTCATTAGCTAGATAGCTATTAGTTCTATAAAATCTACCAGCAACAGTTGTAATGTCTCCACTGAAGCTGCTTTTGTCTGCCTCTGTATAAACTCAGGACTCATTGTTTTACAAAAAAATACTAAGAACTTCAAGTGGTAAATAAATATATATTATCATTGGAAACTGCATAATACCATGCAAGAATGGAAAGTGTGACAGGCGTAGCAACAGTAACTAAGCAGGCAGGGCTTACTGAACAGTCAATCTGCTTGGTCTACTTCAGTGTGTTTTTTTCTAGATGTAAATCTGGTGTTGGAAATTAAAGGTTGAAATATAAACAATATTACTCACTGATGATCAAGGTAATGCTTCTGATTGGAAATACACCATCAGGCATTTCATTCTGGTCTATTGCCAAGGAATTAAAATAAAAAAATACAACCAGGACACAACAAAAACACCTGTTTTTTTAAATAGTGTTACAGTGTTTGGGTGGATTTTTCCTTTAGCAAGCCTACTACAGTATACTGTAGTTTCTTCACGCAACAAAGCAAAGACTATTGTGACATTTACTTTTAACACTGCATGCATTTTGTTTTTGTAAATAAAAATATTCTATCTGATCTACAATAAATGGATGAGGCGATTTCCATTATTACTGAGTCTTTGCAAAGTCTTGCATTATGGTAGTCTGTAGAGATGGGAATTTATACAGGTACTGGCTGACCTGACTGCCAAGCAGCCTATTCTGGGGGAAGTCACTGACTCCACACACATTCCTCAGTCAGTAATGGATTTGGTAGCCCTTGGATACATACAGTCATTGCTATTTACAGTAGATTACATCTGAGCATGAGAGGGTATCAAATAATTTCCCCTTGCAGTTAAATGTGTTGGTGTAATGTGGAATCATGTAAACTATATCACACTAACACAATTCCAAACTTCATGCGTGTAATTGGTCGATTTTCATTTTCACAGCCGAGCAAGGCCATAGATGCAAGTCTGTAACTGAGGGGGTATCAGCATATTCTGATATTTGCATGTGCAGGTGCACAGTAAAGGGGGGAGGTGGGGAGTGAAATTGAGAGAGGCTGAATGAGTAGCATGGCATTCAGATGAGGGGTGGGGCGAGATGCTGACAGTAGAGATTCTGCTGGCCTTCCTAAGCATGTCAGAGGCTTTGTCGAGGCAGGGATATTTACTCGTCCCTGAGAAAGCAGAGACGTCTGACCCTGCACACTCTCCCTGCCTGTCTCTCCTTCTGGCTGTGTGTGTGACATGGTGTGTGATATGGTGTGCTATGTGGATGTGTGTGTGCGTGTGTGTGTTGTGTGAAAGTGCATATTTTTTTATGGATTTTTGTCTGTGCATATATGTATATGTTATGAAATGTGTGTCTGTATGTATGTGTGATAGGCTCGCCTAAGCAAGGAGCAGCGATGGGGCAGCGCCCTCCTGTCCAGACATCAGTCCCTGGAGGAGGAGTTTGAGCGAGCCAAGGCTGCTGTTGAGGTAAGCAGAGTGCTGCTTAGTGCACCTCACATCTGTCAGCTGTCAGCCGAGAGCCATCTCCACCGCTGACTTATAATAAGGTTTAACAGGAATGACCGAGTTGGTTTTTCAATATTTATCAGCAGAACTTTTCCTCGGTGCGCTGTCCTTGTCTGCTTTGTTTGGGTTTTTGGAAGTATAATTTCTGCTGAATTCTTTTGATTTGAGCAGGATACTGAATCCCAGACAGCTCAGGTGTTCTTCTATAGATTACCCTGACTTTAGGCTTATTTGACTAAGACAGCAGATGTGCACAGTTCATGTTAACGCAAATAAAATGTGTCAGTCTAACCCATTAGTGCTCATCTATGAAATCCAAAGATAGAGTCTGTTTCAGCATAAATCTCATCCCCAACTTTAAGAGAAAGGGATGGAAAGTCTCTTGGGTGCCTGTATAAATATTTAAATAAAAAGATGCCTTAAAATGAGCATTGTGAAAACTTTAAGCTAAGAAAACTTTATTCAATATCGCATTTTATTTCATTGCCCATGTAGCTTCATAATCGTTCCTGCAATCTGAATATATCTACCTGACGCCCCGTGGAGCTGATTGCCATTTGATTCCTTCAGCCCTTTTATCTCTTTGTCAGATGATCACTATTGCGCTTCCTGCTATGTATTCGTCCCTGTGGTGCTAGCGGACAGGTTAATAGTCCATGCTAAACTCACACACTCAAGTTCACAGGGTGTTTGACCCAGAAAAATATTCACGACTCTCAGCTGGCTAACAATAGGAAGGTAAATAGGTCAGTCATTTTACGGTCAGACATATCAGATACCACAGGAGATGGAGAAGTTACAGTAATTAGATCTGGCTTAATTCTTCATAGGGCTGTGTATCGACACTTTGCATGTGTGGAATTTTGAAGCATGTCTGACGTTCTTGTGTAACATTGAAAATTACTTGAAACCTCCTACATCTCTGAGAAAAAAAAACTTTTCTTTGAAGCTCAAAGCACTCTCATCACTTTTCCCTTTTTTTTAATGTAATTTCACATTAGGTAACTATTTGATCCACTGATGAGATGGAATGAAAATTTCCATCCACACTTTAATGAGTTTTTTTCCTTATTCTGCAGTATGTTTGGATACTTATATTATTATTATTATTATTATATATTTTTGAAAGGTTACATCACAATGATCCAATAACAGCTACCTGAGTGACTAAAATGGCAGGGTTTCTGTACTGTATCAGGAAAGTTTTGTTTTTAAACCACTTTACTGAATGGACATCTCCCTTCCCAGAAAATGAGTGTTATTTCAGCTTTACTGAGGGCTACAGTAGACTGTTGCATACTAAGCTATGTGTAATGGTCAATAAATAATAGAGCAGGAACAGGAAGACTGTGAGAAAGTGAGAGGGTGCAGAGGAGTCCACCCACTTGGGGAATCCTTCCCAAAGTGAGCAATGATGTCACATCTTGTATAAGCCATGAGTTGCATCCTCCCAAATAATTGCACAGTTTGAGTACAGGTGTCAGCCGTAGGGCAGGTAAGTGATGAGATTTTTAGATTCTCCTGGACAATCGCCTGAGCATGGAGCATCGATTGGTAACAGTATCTCGCAGCTTCGATCGAGCAGCCTGAGTGCTGGCCTCCTCTCCAGAGGAGCTCTGATGCAAGTGGTCAGCCATTTTGGCTTCAGCTGGCAATGTCAATGGCCAAAATCAGATAATTTCCATTTAAGTAGCAGTGCATATGCATGCCCTTTCATACTAATAAAGACATGGAGGTAGAGACGGCTCAGATTGCAGAGAGAACATTAAATCAGCACACAGCCTTTCTGCCAATTTATTCAATTAGGTGAAGCAGCCAAATGTAAGAAAATTAGGACCCACAGAGGGAGCAGACAAGGAATTAGGCCCCCAAATATAATCCATTTTACAAAGCTGGCACTGATGAGAAAGTGTAGGTTTCTCACATAAAAATGCCTGAAAAAGGGAGGATGAAATGGCAGTGGGCCAAGAGACGGAACTCAGCTTTGAATGCATTTACAAAGAGGCTGATGAAGAGATATTTTCTTAGTAGGCAAGTGTCCCTGTCACACAAGGATACCACCAATTAATCCAAGATGATGACAATGTAATATTTTTATTAAAAAGGAACCACTGGAACAGCTGCAGGGTAAATTGTGACTTCAGGGAACGGTGGGGCATGAGCAAGCACTCCCATAGTGGTGATAAAGGCGAGATGAAGGTGACTGTGTGGTCTCTTGTTTGATTAAAACAGTAGCAGGACAGGTTCACTTTTATCTTGCAGAATATTAGTCTGAGGCACTTCGGGTTTAGTGAGAGATTACAAAGGCAGCGCTAGAAGTTAGAGTTGTAGACTTGCGATCAAAAGGTCAGTGGTTTTTATCCACAGACCTGCTAGAAAAATGTGGATAGGGAAAGTAAATGAGTAATGCTTTCACCTCTCTCTGTAACTAATTCAGTGTGCTCTCAAGCAGACATCAGAATTTTCTATTGGAGCTGCAGTTTCCATCATGACAACAAGGGTGCACACAGCATCTACTATTATATCTTCAAATTTAACTTTATTATATTTACAGAAATGTATTTGTCTCTTGATGCATGCAAAGGTGAATTTAGTACAAAAAGGAAGTAGTGCAGAAAATACATTAGTATATTAAGATATTCTGCCGTTAATTATCTTTAATTCCACTGACTACCTTCTAACTTTCTTCAGTTTTTCACTGCCATGCCAGCACTTTACAATCTCAGCACAAAATATCTTTTTCACCCACACAAGAGTGGCCACAGTAGCTCAGTGTGTCTTTATTACAGACATACACACAGCGAGAAATGACTAGGGCTGTACCCAAGAATTTGGTCAGTCAAAATTGGATTTAGCTGTTCAATACAAAGATTTTTTCCTTTTGTTCAGTTCAGCGTCACATTAAACTTCTATATCAGCCTACATAAGTTTCATGTTTAATGCCTTTCTTCGTCATCTATAATATGAAAATATCAGGTTTCCACACAGTCAGAGAGAGTTAAAGTGTGCATCCTGCTCACAGTTCAGTCCTAAAATCCCAGCACACCACAGAGTGTCTCTCCTGCCGGGCTGCTGTCAGCCAAAGAGTCGATCACAGTGGACGGCAGTAGGTAGTACTACCATCTGGTTCGAAAGTGGTTTAGCTGACTTCACTGACACTCATCACGCTGCCCTTCAATTCTATCACCCTTCTCCGCTTCCAACACCAAAATCTGGTTTTGTGGTCATTCTGAGAATGACCTGCTATCCTGTTGCTCCTGTGTTGATCTGTGTACAATGACACAGCCAAAAAAAAGCCAAATACAGAGATTCAACTGACAAAATGCAAATCGACTCAGGGTCTTTTTGACTGATGACTCAAATCAAATTATCAACTTCTGGGGGGCAGCCCTAGTAATCACTCGGCCAAAACGCATTCGTAGCACTTTGTCCACTGAAATGAATTTTAGTCTTCTCTGAGTGACATTATCAGGACTCCAGCTTCCTATTTTTGTCTCGTTGACCAAGGACTTGGCCTGCGTAGCAGAGCGGTGGGTGGCTCATTAACATTAAAAGGCCAGACCAGCCCTGCTCTGGAGATGAGGGGAGCTTTTTTTGAAGGTTGCTCTGTGTCACCGGTAAATAATTAGACTTTTTGTAATGTAAGGCCCCTGGGCAAAGTGGATAAGTAAACCCTATTCATGTGCTTGTTTCCTCCAAAGGTTGAGTCAAGTTAACACATCTCAAACTGATATGAACAGATAAGGAGTCCACTTGAGAAGCAATCACACCAATCCAATCCAAGCACCAATCCAAGACCACGTTATGTATTAGCCCCTGCTATTTCCCAGCAGCATCCCATTAGACATTTTTTTTTCCATGATGGCAAAGTCATGACCCACCCTACTCTGACTCTGATATTCTCACCCTAACCCTAACCAATCTAACCAACCCAAACCAATGACGACAACGAGTACTAGCCAATCAGAATGTGCTCTGTGCTGCCACTGGGCACTGGTGACTACTGTTTTAGAGCAGTGTAGAGTTGAGTCTCGGTAGTGTAATGTTAGCCAGAGCTAGCTAAATGTCAGCAATTTCAGGAAGGCCTTTGTATTGGCTCAGGAAAACACAGGATAGGCTACGGCTTAATGTTACCATTGCTTTAAATAGGTGAACTGACAGCAAATAGGTCTTAATTAAAGTCATTAATTCCTTATGTCTATTCCTAGGGCAAAAGCCCACGATGATTTTGTATTGCAGTCTAGTTACGATTTACTATTTCTTGCTGAAAATCTGAAGCAGTTGTTTTAAGAGCATTGGTTTCAGTGTCTTCACTGACCAAAAAATAATTATTACTCTATAAATTACCTTCCTGACAGTGTACATTTATTTTCACTAAATATATTGTCTCAGTCCAGCTCAATAAGAAACACAAATTAGAGGCAAAATATAAATACACCTTTTCTAAAAGTGGGTGACAGCAGAGGGTATGTGTAACTTCTGTAGATGTTGTAATGATTATGTATGTTGTCAATGATGTGTTCATGAGGTAACTAATGAATCCCAAACCCACTTCCAACCCCCAGTTCATTTCCAAACAGTGGTGACACATTTGGTGGCAGGAAGCACCCTGGATTCAATCCATTTCACGTAACACTTCATCAGAGCTGCTGAAATTAGAGTCACAGCAATGGGTTCGCTCCAGTGATACACAGGGTATAAATTACCTTGCTGTATCTTTGCCTTGTTCCACATAATTAAACTGCCAATGTCAGTGTAAAAAACACCCTTCAGCGTTACAAAGAAATATGACTAAATTTCTTATAAATGAAAAACATGTCCGTATCTTTACTCCATTTCGATTCTGCAAGCAATTTGTTGTCACCCGTGGTGCAATTAGGGGGCGGACAAGTTACACACCAGATGGGATTTCACAGAGTAAACAACTGACTGTCTATGAAACACAAATAACGAGATGATGGACTAGGTCACAGTGCAAATACATGCCCACAACACAATGAGAAATCATGATAAAATAATGTTACTATATTATGTAAATTAGCATAATAGCTGTGGCATGAGAACCATTCTAACATAATAGCTGAAGATTGTATGAGGCCAGGACCAGCACTGGGCTCTGCAGCAATTTTGCCAGCATGGCTAACAGTTAGATCTGTGGGTCATGTGACTTCCTTTGTTGATGGCGCTTTTTGCAACACACTTCATTAACTATAAACACTTTCTAAAGTACTTTACTGACAGTAAGTAAAGTTTCAGATATGTGTACTTTACTTCAAAGTTTCCATTTTTACTTTCCAAGGTTTTCTTCCTAAACTCCCATACATTCACTCAGTAAGCTTTTTCAAACAACCAGTCCAGATGATGCCACTCATTCATATCCATAAACTCACTTGTATTTTATATATCATTAAACAAAAGACCACAATATTTACAGTCTAAGAAAAAAAAGATATGTACATTAATTGAACTATAACCTCCAATGCATTTTCAAAAGCCACCAAAAAGTCTCATAAAGACATAATTTTCATGACATTTGTGTGTGGGAGTTAACATTACGAATATATCATATTGCCTGCATGTAAACTGAACATGAACTAAAATTTTACCATCAAAACCAAATGAATCCACTTTTATCATAAATACAACGTAAACCTTTAATATGGCCTCAGTGGAGAACCAACACTGTTTCTACATCTAAACGGTTACTCTAAAGTTCAATCCCCACAACTGCCTGCATTTCCTCTATCTCAGGAACCTTGATAGTGCACTTCCTCACAGAGCCAACAATGAAGACTCATATTCAGGCAATTTGTCTGACAGTCAGCAGCCTGCAATTACCTGCCGTTTCTCACCATCAGGGGCCACACTATGGCCTTCTTGTCAATCACAAGCCTCTAATATGTGGAGATGAGAAGGCCTTTGACACATATACACATACATACACATTACATTGACAGTAGATCTTTCTGACCCTGCTCCCCTCTACAGTGTCACTACACACACTTACTGTATACAGTGCTGTCATGTACTGATGAGTTTCTGGCTATAGAGGACTCAATAAGTCACATGAGACTATTCTGCTACGTTTGGCATTATTCTTCCTGTTTGCTCTGCCTCTGACAGGAATACGGCCAAGAATCATACACTCAGCCAGCTAGAAAAGAAAAAACTCGGATAAATTCGAGTTTTACATGAAAAACAGACATGATGGTTAACTGCATCTGTAGCAGCAATGCTGCATGCTAGGAGCATAGGCATACATCACTAAGAACTGTGGGTACATGTTTACCACAATAGGTTGAATGAGAGGACAGAAGAATAAGCTTTACCTCTCAACAAGTCATGTAGATGTGTATCCAAGACTTCAAACACCATCCCAAGATAACTCTAAACTCTAAATTATCACTGTTATTTTTATGACATGATCAGACAATAAACAAGCATCTGTTGGTAGTTAAAAATAATAATAATAATATTGTTTTATAGTTTTAGTTTATTATAAACAAACAAGACGGCACAGCGCAGGTCACAGTCAAGTGCGCCTTGCTGCATGTCGGGGGTGGGGATGACGTCCGCTGCCATTCCCTCCGGTGTTTTGCATGGAGACGGGGTGGAGGGGGAGGGGGAGGAGTGGCAGGAACCAACAGTCCTGAGAGAGTTATTAGCGGACACAAGACATTTTAATTGATGTATCATTTATCATGGAACTGCTTCAACTGTTCAGTGTCAGTATCCAACACACCTGCAGTAGAAACTGTATAATATTTCATTAGAACGACACATGCACATGAGCTCCGAGGACTAACCAGCGGATCTGACATACATAATTGTGCCTTGACATCACTCACATTAAAAAAATTACCTGGTGCTTTCAAATGACTGTGAGAGACTCACCAGAGTAAAGGAAAGGCTGTCAGTATAGGCTACTAGCTGTTGTGGATCAGCATTCTGCCTCACTAGCATTGACTTCATAATCAGAATACTTTTTTTCTGTATGAAAAACATGACAGCTGGTTGAAAAACTTACAAAACGTACAATGAAAGGGGAAAATGAGCATAAATAAAAGGGTCTGTATGATTTCAGAGACATTTACATTTATACTTTTACCAAATATAATACCCAAAATATTATTGAACAAAAGTGCGTTGACCTGCTCTGAGCTGGCGAGACACACTTGGCACCAAGATTGCTATGCACCGCTGGATTGGCATTGCGACACAATGGGCCACCAAGATAACAAACTGCCACAGTCAAGGAAATAACCTCAGTGTAGAGTCTACAGTTATGGTAAGGGACTCTGTGCTAATGTTTGTTAATTAGAACTAAACACAGTACAGCTGAGGCTGATGGGGATATCATTAGTTTTACCAGTATTAAGTAGTAAGCTAAAATATTAGACAAATGTATTTTGACCTAATGGTGGCACTAGATTAAAAGTCATTAGTAATTACAATTCTACCTGAGGAAAATATCAATGTCTGCATAAAATTTTATGGCAATCCATCTAATAGTTGTTGAGATGAAAATGTCAACCTACTGCTGGCGGTTGATTAAAGGCCAGGGGTTAGTAGGTCAGTCAGTAGAATTGATCCTCTGGGGACAATGAATGTCTGTAATTGTACAGATATTTCAATGGTGGACTGACTGGTGGACCTTACTTTACATTGTACCACAATTGTGGTGTCCAGTGTATGAAAGGTCTTAATAAACATTGCATGTGTCTTAAACACTGGTAAAAACTGAAAGTGACAAATATATATCTTTAAAATTAAGTAAATAATCTATTGGGAAAAAGTCACCACATGCACCTTTAAATCAGCTCTAAAATAAACTAGTATGCGAGGAGAAGATGGTACAACAGGAGAGATACTGTGTGGTCCTGTTAAACAGTTTTAGTTAAATCCCTTGATACAGCTTTGAACACACTGAAGCTGATTCAACTCCTCTTGGCGAAGGCTGATAAACAGAGAGTTGCACTAGTCATAGTGAGAAGAGAGAAAGGCACTTCCTTCCAATCCTCTCTGTAACACTAAAATTCATGATGGTTCTAAGTTTAGCAGTTCTCCTAAGATTAAAAAACCTTGGCTAAACAGGTGTTTAGCATCTCTTCCAAAACCACGGCTTGAGTCTCATCAGAGAGGCTGACTGGATATGTTTACTAAGAAGCAAAAACAGGTTGAATCTGGCTGGAAACAAAACAATGGGTTTTATCTAAAGACAAATGGAAATTAATATTCATATTTAGTTTTCAAAACTTAATATGTGCTTTATTAAAGTATTTCTGATTCTGATTCTGATTCTGCTTTGTCTTTTGTCTGCATCTTTTCATAACTACTTATCTGGTCTGATCTGGATTTTAGGCCTTTATTTTTGGTGACTACTCACAAGCCTCACTTAAATCTAATCGAACGCTGGGTTTGAGGCAAACTACAAATGAACAATTTCTTCAATGAGGCAAACTCATCATCCAAACAACATTACAGTGATTATAACAGTTAGCTTCACAGCGGAGGCTTTTGAGTTTGTCGGCACTGTTGATTGCTGAAGGGTACAACAATTTCAAGCAGCAGTTTTTAATGTGGAAGTTGGAAATGTGTATGGTTTTCTTATAGCAATTATTAGCCTCTTTACTGACCTAATAAGAAACTGTCAGGTGCAGTGACAGTTTATCCATGTTGATCATTAGCATATTATTTTAAGTGTAAAAGCTATGTTTTTGTGCAAGGACTTATTTGACCATTTTTTGCAAGTACATTTCAGATATTTTGTATTCATTGGAAGGATGTTGTTACATTACACTACAATTTCATATTTGGATATGTACATAACAGGTTGTGTACCAAAGGATTTGGATTGAGATACATTTAAACCATGCTGGCTGCTGTTTTCTGAAGACTAATATAAGCTTTTATGTAATAGGCTCATTCTAGGATTTAGTTTCTCTGACGAATAGAAAATGAAAAGCTATTCCAGGAGGTGGATTGGCATATTTAACTCATAAGTTAACCTTTCAAGGATTCAGTTAATTGAAATGCCAACAAATAACAGTTCAAATGTCGAACTAATAGAGAAGTTAAAGCCTCAATCCGGCATTTTTTGACCACATTGTGTCAATTCAAATGATTAAAAACATTTTGTCTTACAGAGGAGATATGAGCATTTTGTGCATTTTTTAACTGATCATATATGAAACTATAGGTCTGTCTTCCAGCTGTACTAACAAACATTATTTATGTAAACATGCCTTTAACAGTATCAGAAAACATAAATACTGATTGTTAAGTATTCATTTGCATTTAAAAAGACCTGTCAATCAATTTGAAGGTGGAAGAAAGTACTAATCTTGTGTATTGATTTTTTGGTGGTGGGGCTGCCCATTAGTTTGCATTTGAAATGTGGATAGTTCCTTTAAGCCCCGCCTCGACTTGCAAATCTAATGAGTCATCAGAAAGTGTAACGTCCATACGTTACAGCAAGCCAGTGAGCCGGACAGACGTGACATTTTCAACAGAAGGATAATGGGAAATTACTAGAGCTGTTGTTCTACTGTGCACTAATCACTCATTCCTTCCTCTCACCCTCCCACTCCCCCATCTATCCACCCCCCTTCCTCCCTCCACTGTGTCCTACTCTTTCTCTGACGTCTGTAGTCAGATACCGAGTTCTGGGATAAGATGCAAGCAGAGTGGGAAGAGCTTGCTCGGCGGAACTGGCTGACGGAAAATGAGCAAGCGCAGATTCCCTCCAGTGTCTCTCCACATGAGAAGGTCACTATCACAAAATGTTATTAGCCTGTGTAGAAATGTGTCTGTATAATAATGACATCCTCTGTAGAGTAAATAATTCATGCCTGTCTAGAGTTATAATGTGAAATCAGTTACACAGAATTTGGGGGAAAAAAAGAAATGTGATTAGATAAATGTTTAAATAAAAATACACCTGACTCATACATAACTCCCAAAGTGGGGTTCCAATAGAAGACAGCACACAAACCTAACATTAAAATACAAGCTGAAAACAGAGGCCGCTTTTATTGAAATCATCATAGAGCTTTCTGGCTTACACATATGAGTGCTGTCATTCATAAAATGTGCAGGGTTAACAAAATTATTTTCACATGTAGTTACTTTTCACTTTAAATGTGTTGAATGATCAGATTTTTTTTCTAATTTTCCTACTATTAATACATATAGAACAATTTGGAATATGATGCATTGTATATCCTATATTCTATCTATGTGTATGTGTATGGCATCATGATATATGATATATAAGACTGTTGGTGGGTTTCACAGCATATGGCCTAGCAGTATATTTAACCGATCCGCTGAACTTCTTATATAACAAAATCATACAAGATCAGACTTCTGGGCTTTCTGATTGATCCCAGTGCAGAGCTAGTTCTTAAAGAAAAAGCTGTTTCAAAGTCATTGCACTCAGAAGCGGTCAACAACACACCAGGGTAATCACAGTTTGAAAATGCAAAGTTTAACATTTAAAGAGAACAGACAAACCCCGGGGAGCACAGCCCAGGTTTGATGTGAAGCAGAAAAGATCAATTCCTGCTGCTGGAGCTTTGCTTAAATATACAACTGCACAGGACAGTTGCCCTGGTTTGCATCTGAATATGGAAGAGAGAAACTGACATTGCCACTGTCCCTATTTTTTGTTTGTTTGTTTGTTTTTTTTCGCTGACAGGGTTACTACTTCCACACAGATAATCCTTATAAGGACTTGCCTAACGCATATGAAGAGGGACTAAAGAAGTCTCGAGAGGGAGACTTGCCAAACGCTGTGCTTTTGCTGGAAGCAGCTGTCTTGCAGGACCCTCATGATTCAGAGGTGAATTCATTTAGCCCACACATGCATACACACTTCAACACACACACACACACACACACATTGTATTTTTACACTGTAAAAGAAAAGAAAACTGCAAGTCTGCACCAGTCAATCCAGCTTGAGTAGTTTTGAGCTCAAACTTGAGGCTAAATCCAACCCTGATGACTCCACTTCGTGTTGGGAGAAGCTAGAGACGAAGAATGCCTCACTGACCACAGGTTGTGTGAAGCAGATTTAGCAGGCTGCACCCACAGGCTGGATGTTGATTGCCTGTAGAGGGCAAATATTTTTTTTTCCTTGTTAAAAGAGTTGTTTACTGTAGCAAAAATACTCAACGTTTTCATACTCTTGATGAGAATTTCCATTTGCCCAATGAGCTGAATAATAGCTCATTCTGCAGGTTTTTCATCCTTTTTGTATTCTCCCCGTTTCAAAAGAAGTGACCTCTTTGCAGGCTGAAAGAGCAAAGCCTTCATACAAAGTACTTTCGGAATCCCCCGGAATATACAGAAATGTGCCAGTTATTCCGAGGAGAGGATTATCCCGCGGTGTATGGAACTAATACGATTCCAAAATTCCTCCTAGGGCGCTTAGTGGCTTATTGCCCCGTTGTGAAGACCTCTGAATCATTCAGAAATAATTTCGACCCTCATTTCAAAGAGTGGAACAGAAAAGCATCTACAGAGATTTGCTTTAGAACAGGTCATTAAGTGTGCCCTTACAGACACAAAATACAGAAGAGTAATCTCATAATCTTACATTTTGGATTTGAGGTTACTTATATCATTGTCTGCCCTCTTGTGCTGATCAAAGGTACTTTGTATTTGCGTCTCCCTGCTGAGGACCAACAGTGGCACAAAGATCAACCGCAGTGCCTCTCCCACAGTCACATTCAAGGTTTACTGAGCAAAAACTCAGCAATGAATAATCTATTGGTCGACTGACAGAAAATTTGTGTGTATTTATTACTGGGTTTAGTCCTAAATTGAGTTATGTTTCAAGTGAAAATCCCAACACTGGCTTGTTCCAGCTTCTCCAGTGTGAATATTTTAAGCTTCTGTATATTTTATTTAGCTGGAAATGAAATATTTGGGGGTTTGGCACTGTTGGAAGGACAAGCAATCTGAAAACAGGCTCTGATTTTTTCTTTTGACATTTTATACTATTTAACACTATTGATAATGAAAGTAATCAATTGTTTCAGCTCTTATATTACTTATCTGGTGCACTTAAGCACCTTCCAATAAATTTAGGCCTGCAACTAATGCTTTTATTTCATTTAAATTGATTAATCTGCCAATTAACTCTTTTGACGAAATGTCAAATAGTCCCTGATTAATTTTCTGTTAATCAACTAGTCCTGCAGCTTCCTTCCTCCTTCCTGAATTATCACTTCACTTTTATAAAGAGATAAAGCAGTATGTCAGCAAGTCATATCTGAACTCCACTGAATAATAAATGGCTCTCTTGGTTGATTTAATGGGGTATCTGAGTGTATCTAAGGACAACCCTCCGAGCTTAACACTTTTTAATCATAATTGCATGCACCTTTGTTTGACCTCATGAAGGTTTTACATCCTTTGGAGTTCTGAATGTTTAAAAGCACTGCATTGTCCTCTGTGGGGATGTGTCTGAAACACTGGCATCATTCGCTCTGTGCTGGATCACACTCATTGTGCCTGACAGACGATGCTGAGCCACTGTAACTGTGTTTCAGCCCCTGGAGAATACCGGCTATGGAGTCCAGGTTTCCACCCTGCTGTTTACTGTTACCTGTATTTTGTTTCCCTGCAGGCTTGGCAAGTATTGGGGACCACCCAGGCTGAAAATGAGAATGAGCAGGCTGCGATTGTCTCCCTCCAGAGGTAAAGAGAAACAACTGCATCAAATTCCCATTTAAAATCAAAAATCGCCGTCAGACATGGCGAAGTTGTCAGCTGTTATTGCTCGGGGGCACCATATGTTTGCACAAGTCGGACTCTGTGGAAATGTCATGTTAAAAGATGAAGCCCAGTGTATGAAATTTGCTTGAGAGGTTTCAATGAACGTTTTGGTAGCAGTCTATTCAGCAACAACTCAAAATTCTGTAATGTAAAGATTTGGTATATTTTTAGTTCCAAGAAGAACATGATTTTACTTTTTACTACCAACCAGCAACTGGAAGGAAACATACTGCAATTTTTGTTCTTAAAATAGAGACACCCCACACGGATGGTGATTGCACAGATCCGGGGTATGAACAGAGTCCTCAATGGGAGGTGGCCCACTTTCATTCATAACGCTGCTGAAGCCAGAAATTGCACCTATCTGGGGGTGTGAACACTGACAAGTCAACTGAAAACCCAAGAGACCGCCATTCAGGGAAAAAAAAGCATCCTTTCTTTTTTAAGTGCAACATAGAGGGTCTATTCTGTTAAATAAAAATATTTTTTTTAATTGCTGCTCTACTTAAATGGGATTACAAAGGCTGTGAAGAATTTATTTTTCAGTTCTTGCTAGAATCTTACTTAATCCAATAGACTTAGATTCTGAAACTCCATTCAGATTTCGTGTCATCTGCACGGTGTCAACTTCAGTTTGTTTATTATGTAATAGCTCCATCTGTGAAGGGAGTGTTGGGGTATGAAGTGAGATTAGATGTTTACCTGGCATTAGTCTTGTTGTTGCTATACTGGCAACACTTCAGTTGGCAAGCACAATGTTATCCTGCTCTATTTGGGTTTCTTCATCAATTGTATTAAATAATGCCACACAAACATCTATTATCTTCCACTTCAGTTTTCTTTATTCTGTCATGATTATTTTATGCTTCACTTTTAAGATATTCCTTTAATAGTCCCACAATGGTGAAATTCCAAAATTTGATGGTCAAGATATATGAACTGCATCTCAACAGCTTCTGAGGGGAAAAAAAAAACATTTTCTGAAGTGACATGAGGCAAAACTGTGACTTATTTGTGGTTATTTAATGGGCAAGTCAGCTTGGTTCTGTACACAAACAAATCTGTGATTGTCTCTGGAAAACATGGATCTCTGGTCACTGGACTTGCACAAACACATTCTTGTAAGTGTACAGTGGATTTGAGTGGATTTAACCAAAGTTTATGTAATCTTTACCTCGAGCACATTCAAGTGGGGGACTGAAATAATTTGACTGAGATTATGAGGGTTTTAAGGAAGTTGGCGCATCAACTGTAGCAAATCTGGCTTGAAAGTTATCTTGATGAAAGCTAAATCTTGTTTTGGCCTCTCCTTCAGTCTTTTAACTAATCCAAATTGTTCATCCAACACAGTGCTGCTCTTCTCCCCTTTTCAATTACAAAGGCCAGCGTAAATCTTAGTGGCAGTAGTCCCAATGATATAACCAGTGATATAACTTAAGTACTCAAACACACTTTCCATCTGTAGCTCTGGAACAATCACCATTTTTTCCTAAATGAAAACCGAATGCAAATAATCTAACCATGCAGCTGAGGGTAGCATGCAAACCTGGTCCTCTGCAGCCGAGGCAAAGCAGGAGATGTGCAGCTCATCCATTCTGACCCAGAAATCATTAGCCTCTGCCTGATGTTCCCTTGCTTTGGCCTGTCCCAATTAATGCCTGTCAAATCTAGATTTCCCTTTGAAGTGCACACCTTACACAATCTCTTCTCTCCCATGCCCGGGGTCCTTTCTCCATCCAGGTGTTTGGAGCTCCACCCAAATAACCTCCCAGCCCTCATGGCTCTGGCAGTGAGCCTGACCAACACTGGTATGCGCAATGATGCCTGTGAAGCCCTGCTCCGCTGGGTGCGACACAATCCAAAGTACAAGCACCTGCTGAAGGGCAAGACCCACCTGATGGGATCCCCAAACTCCCAACGCAGGATGTCTCAAGCTCCCAACACAGGCAGACACGAAAGGTGGGGTATTAATAATGTACTAATATGCAGACAAATCTTCACATTGGCGAAAAATTACTGAAACAATAAATTGTCAAAATTGTTGCCAATTCATTTTCTGCCAAACTCTCTAAACTCTAGTGGACAATGTTGAAAATCAATAATAAGCAAGACTGATTTATGTGAATACTGGATTTTTATATGATTTTTTTGATACTACTTTGATTTGTCAGGATTAGCCATAGTGAACATGCTTGTCTATTTATTCTATCTATTAATAGTTTCTCAACTGATACTCCAGAAGAGTATAATTTTATGATATATACTGATATTATTACTATACTCATTAATATCTGAGACAATAGGTGATGATATGGATGTCAAAAGTATCAGTCGGGAAAGTGAATAATTTGTAGTCGTCAGTGAGGTTCAAGAGTCTTAAAGTTTTAATTAAGACATTAAAATGCCACAACTGAATTTCAACCTTATCTAACAACTCAGAGTCATTGAGTGCACTGACAAACATATCATATATCAGTCATTTCAGACTCTCGTTTGTTTTACTGAAACTGCTATTACTCTGTCAGGGAGTGCAAAAAACATATTTCAAGGTTTCTCAACCACAGCTGGTGTTGGTGTTATTTTCACTGGCGAGACAGCATACATGGAGCTACGTGTATCTGTCTTGTCAAACCACTTACTGCTGTAGAAGGCAGACCATCTAGGCCAGAAAAATGAGACTGTTAGGTATATCAGATTGAAAGAGCCTAATTATTCTCCCAGGTAAAGCAGCACAAATAATCGTCTAGTCAATGTGAAGAGATACAGGTACATCCTAATTACTGTGGTGTCCCCTCTCATCCTCTTTTCATTTCTGCTGCTTACACCACCCTTCTCTCTTTGCACTTCTCTCCCTCTAACTTTCCTTTACCCTCCCTCTGTTTGTTATGACAGCCTAGTGGAAGCTAAGATACTAAGGGAAGATAACATAAAGGGCTTTACCCAAACGCTAAGGACCAAATGACCACTGAGGCAGAAGAAGCTCTCTAGCTGTCATTTGTTTAATTTTTCACTTTAGTCCACTGGTTCTCAAGCTGCTCGAGGAGGACATACAACCACGGCAGAGGAGATAGGAGATAAAAGTGTTCAGTGGAGCTTAAGCTGGATGAATCTGAACGATAAACAAGGAAGCAAGACTTTCAAGATTCAGCTAAAGCAGAAATGGTTATGGAAAAATATTTCATATTTGGCTCACTTTGATAATAGTTGATCAAACTACTTTTCAAAACAACTACTTTTTTCTGTCACAACCAAAACAAAATTTAATACTACCGGCCCTACTTTTAGTCATCTCTCTGCAATTTCTTGCTTTTCTTCTTCCTTCACTTTATCTCTCCTTTGCCCTCCTTTCAATATCTCTCTTTTGTTGTATTACATTCCATGTATAAAAGTTGACATGCAGTACAGTGCACATCATAGCTCTGCAATCTTAAGAGCGCTTAACTCAGCAGCCTTAAGTCACACTAATCCTCAGCTGTGTGTGTGTGTGTGTCCACAGCTCCCTGCAACCTGAGGTCAAGGAGCTCTTCCTGGAAGCAGTTCAGCACAACTCTGACAGCATCGACCCGGATTTGCAGACGGGCCTTGGGGTGCTTTACAACCTCAGTGGAGAGTTCAACAAAGCTGTGGAGGCCTTTAATACGGCCCTGTCAGTGCGGCCCGAGGTAGTAACAAAACACACACACACACACACACACACACACGACAGGGCCGAACTTCTTAGAGGCAGATATGCTCTGCAGGTACAAATAATGTCATTGGTCCGTTCAAGCCTCAAGTGGACGGAGTCAGGAAAGAAAAAAGTGGAAAATTACCTATATTCTAAACGGACAAGAAAAAAAGTTCAAATCTGCATCTTATATCAAAATGGAAAGAGAAATCATTTTTTACTTTCTGTCATCACTTATTGAACAAGTATTCAGTATACTGACTTAGTGAGAAATATATGGAGGATTCCTATTTTCTGTATATTTTATAATACACAATATATTGCTTTCCTTAAGAATATATTTGAGTAATAAGACAAAAGAGATACAGTATGGTATTGGCACTGTGTTGTAGATCACCACATAACTTAAATAGTTTTAAGTTGTGTGCCATTCAGTACTGTGCTGGGCTCTCAGTGACAGAGATGTCAAAACCAGCCTGACCAGCTGACTGTAAGCTGTGGCTGGTGAACCCACTGGATGCACTGGTTTCCTTGCAGAGGCAACATGTCTGACAGCTGGTTGACTCCAGCTGGCACTCGAATGTGCCAATGATGTAAACTCTGCACATTTCATGAAACACTATTTATGGATGATCAGATGCTCATTCAGATATTCACAGCTGATACATTTTACATAATATTCACTGCTCATTTTTTGCCCGATGTGAATCCAAGGAGGCTGATTTGTTTGCGGATCCTTGATGGTGACTGTTGATAGGTTGATTCATTACAGGGAGTCATGCAACATTTCATAGTATTATGATCTTCACCAAAATGACCCCTGTTACAAGGTTTCATTCTTCTTCAAAACATTGTTGTTGTTTTTTCATTTTAAACATTTAAAGTGAAACTATGAAAAAAATTAAACATCTCAGGACATTTCCCTCAGATTGATTCATTATAATCCTTTACATTTGTAATCTTGGAGGGTCAGCGTGCAAACTAAAATGAACTTACTAAGATATTACTGCTGTTGCTTTTTGTTTAACTTTGTAGTAAGAGCACAATAATATGTGCAAAAATAATATGAATAATATTGGCTATCTCCTACAGTTGGTCTGTTGAACACTGATTTGACCACTGAGAAACACATTCAGGCTCCAAGATCTGATATAAACACACACATAGACACACACACACACACACACACACACACACACACACAATACTAAAGAGCACACTTGATAAACCATGATCTGTTGCACACCACATGTTTCCATGCTAACACACAGAGCAGACATGAACCCCTCAAGCTTATACACATCCTTAGGGAGATGGAGCCACAATTATCAAGGGAGAGCTCACGCAAACAGATGTGGTGAAGCACATCAAACTCCATGTGCAATATGTGAAGCAAGGAGCTGCCAAATCTGGCCTCATGAACTCTTGACTGGCACACATACACTCTCACTCATGGCCCAGCACAAGAGTATAGCAAGATCTAGTGCACACACACATTTACAAAGAAAACTAAAAAACAGATTCTGACGCATATTCAAAACACAGAAATGCACGCATTTACACAACAAACAAAATAAACACGCGCATACAATTACAACTACAAACTTTTCCTCCATTTCTGCATCCCCTTCATGCAAATCAGTCTCTGTCCTCCGAGAGCTGTCCCAAGCCGGCGAGAATATTACTCACTGTTAAATCCAACCTCCCACATTTGACTTGGTAATATCTGCTCCCCTGCTGGAAAAATGGTTCTGAACACAAAGGGAGATAATTATATCCCACTGCCGGGCTTAGCCAAAGATGAAGGACCCCTATACTGTAGCAGACCATGACCTCTGTATGTGCCTGTCTACCTGCAGGTGGGAAACAACAGCAAGGACATCCTGTATGATGTAATCAACTCTCCTTAAATTACCCTTGTTAGGATACTTCATAGCAGGGAGCTGTGTAACGCCCCGAACACTTCCTTGTCATTTGTATATTAAAAAACCCCAGAAAATTCTATCTCTAGCACTGCTTTGTAATGCTGTCACTGCAGATACAAGGATGAGTGTTGTATAGCAGCTCAGATTATTCAGCTCTATTTCACTTGCACCTTTCTGTTAAAGACACTGTCAGCTACTTGATCAGTTCTGAAAACATTTAGACTTTAAAATATGTGAAGAGATGTTGCTGATGAATTTTTAAATTCCGGCTAAAAGGAAAAAACTCTCCAGTGTGTTTACTGATTAAATACATCTGCATGCAAGCCACATTATTAAAGCTGGCAGCATCTGACAACACACATCAAAGTGAACTTTACTAAAAAACAAATCTTTCATCTTCACCCTCTGACACTGCTTACCCTTCAACCAACCCCACCACTTGCCCCCCATGTAGGACTACTTGCTGTGGAATCGCCTGGGGGCCACACTGGCAAACGGGGACCGGAGTGAGGAGGCGGTGGAGGCTTACACACGAGCCCTAGAGCTGCAGCCGGGGTTTATCAGGTCCCGCTACAACCTCGGCATCAGCTGTATTAACCTGGGGGCACACAGGTGAGTGATCTGGGGCTCTAGGAGAGTGCGGCAAAACTCCTACACTTGTTTTATGTAGTGGAGAAGAATTACTTATAGCACCCAGGGAGGAAAAAGTGAAAAAATAACTAATGCAGTGAGGCTATGTACAGAGTTAATATTTGTAAACAATACAGTGCGCTCTCACCACTAGCATACACCTAACCTAGCACAGCATGGATTGGGAAGTGATAATATAACATCAGGTATGTGGTATCTCCTTTGTGCAGATCAGGCACCAGCTGTGTATGTTAATTTACCAACAAAGCATTTGCAGCCATTGAAGAGAATATACAATCTAGTGAACTGAGATGAATAAATAGACTCACCTGTTATACAGCTACAGGCTAAGTCCTTTCAATTATGTAGCAAAACATACACGCATGTTCAAAATAGGGATACCATAGACAATTATTTTAATTAACTAATCTGCCTATTATTTTTAATTGAACAATTCATACAAATGTCCAGAAATAGTGAAAACTGCTGTTATAAGTTTCCCATTGCCGAAAGTCATGTCTTCAGATTGCTTGTTTTATTCAACCAACAGTGCAAACCTTAAATATAATCAGATAACTATCATATATGACAACAAAAAGGCTAGCTGAAACGGGATAATGTTTCTGCATTTTTTTTCTTGAAAAATGATGAAACAATTAATTAATTATTAAAATTGTTTCTCATAAATTTTTCTGCTGAACGACTAATCGTTGTAGCTCTTATATAAATCACAAAAATCTGTGATGTGGAGCAGACAGTCTCTGTTGTGTGTGATGAGCAGATAACCATCAGCGCATAACCTACATAATGATATTATAAACTTGGTAACATTAATAATATATTATATTGAGTGTAACCGCAACTGCTTTTGTTCAATATGTCCTCAAATGCTTGGCTGATTATAAAAAGGTGTGGAGAAAATATTCATTCGTCTGACAAAAGCATGAAGCCAATATTACATGTGTGGGAAAAATCCAAGAGGCAAAAAAAAAAACAATTGAGCCCTTAGCATTCATCATACTCAATCATAAGTTATTCATATTTCACAACAAAATAACATCACCGACTCATAATTTGTCTGTCAGACAACATCCAAAAGAAAACAAGCCCCCAAGAAATCAGTTCAGTACATGCAGTAGTAGTATGATCAGAAATTAATAACCAACAGAGGCCAAGACATAGGCAAACCTGGCAAGCAGCCACAGTAGCCAAGCACACAACCCCTCATTTAGTATGTTACAACAACAGACAACAAATACTTACAGAAGCTTGGTGGAGAGAAGCAGTGACCCTCGGCATCGCATGGTGGGAGAGTAATCCTCATGGAAGAGTTGCTTCCAGGCTAGAGGCAGTGCAGACAGGAAAAAACCCTCAGGGTTGAAGTGACAGTTGAGGATAACAATGGTCGACCAACTGGTGTCTCTGTTGGGCTACAAACACAATTATTCCTTCATAATCCCAAAGCTCATAAAGGTTAGGTAGCTGGTTGGCTTATCAAATTGAATGAAAGTAACAACAGGAATATTTAGTAGCTAGCTTATCAAATGATATGAAAGCCAAAAACCTTGTTACCTCCAGTGGTACCTCCAGTGGTACCTGGCCATATGGTTTCATGTGTCTCTGGGACGTTTGCCTCTTTCCAAATACAATAAAAGTGACTCAAATGGGGTTTGAGGTGCTAACAGCATTGAATAAGTACATTTTACAAATTTAAATCAAAGTGAGATTACCAGCGTTCATCCTTACTCCCACAGGTGTTTTCAATATCCTTGCTGATTAGCCCTCTGCTCCACTAATAAGAATGCTACAGTTGTAATTCGTCCCACCTAACAGGTGTGAGAAGCTATCAGCTTCAGGGAGATGTCAATCAAACATTTGCACACACCTACATAGCCCTGCCCAGGCCCAGTCACACCATAAAGTGGCACAGCCGAGTTCATTTGTTCAACCTGGCAAAATGGGCAATGCTTGAAGCTTGGTGATGTCGGAACTACTTATAAGACTAGCGGTAAACCAGCTGCTGAGCTAACCTTGGACACACTAGCTAGCCAGAAATATGCAAGTGCCAGTCAGTTGTAACGACTTTCCGAGCTAGCTGCTTGCTAACTGTCATTCTAAATGAGTAACGCTAACGGGACAATAATTCACATGATTTAAAGTTGTTGTTTTTTTCCTGTCTCCCAAAAGTCTACATGAATAGAAGCAGATAAACACCAAAAAGAAGATCAATATTTCACCAGCTTTCAAAAACATGAAGAATTACTTCACCCCAATCAGAAAATGCACTGATTGCAGCAATTCCATTTAAATGATTTTTTTCTCTTTTAAATGCTGGTGTGACCAGGCTGTAAGATGATGCCTAATCAGTCTGAATAAGTGTTTGGGTGTAGGCTACCATGAGTGTGCAGAACGTGACTTGAATCAACCCTTGCGAGTTTCCTCAACGCTGCCTTAAAACAAATTGATTCCTATTGTTTTTGCTTCCCTAGGGAGGCAGCCAGTAACTTCCTGACTGCCTTAAGCCTTCAGAGGAAAAGTCGGAGTCGTCAGCAGTCCCACCAGGTGATGTCTGGAAACATCTGGGCTGCTCTGAGGATAGCTTTATCCATGATGGACCAGCCTGAACTCTTCCAGGCTGCAAACATTGGTGATCTGGATCTTCTCATGCGGGCCTTCAACCTAGACATTTAAGGAAAGGGATGTAGTGACAATAGCATCACTCCCTTCACTTACTCTTCGATTTCTACCCAACAGCCAAATCCCCAAAGTGCACACATCAGAATGGGTTGGATCTGATGTTAGAGACAATTGTGTGGTTTTTATGCACGTCAAAATTAACTACAGTCGTCAAAGTTGTTATATTTTTCGCCCAAGTACCTTGGAGCAGTTCAGAGGACAGGTTCTTCCAAGTGCTTGAAGTGACTGCTTTGTGATGGATTTGCACTGCAATTTGTGATTTCCCTAAAGAGCACAAGGACGGGCAAAGATTGTACGAGCAATGCCTTAGAGAACACATCAATTAAAAACTGACTCATCCAGTGGAACAGAGCTAAGCCAGGAGAGAGGCAGACAGACAGTTTGAGAATCTCACAGAGGAACCCTCACATGCTGTTTGCAGAGAAAAGATTTAAAAAAAAAGACGGTTTCGTTATCCAATTACTTTCAAAGACTCAAGGCTGTCTCACCCTCTTGAAGGATGGATTTAGTGAGAAAATGATAAAGACTGCACCATATGACCTGAAACTCCAAATTCTGTTCCTGGCTTGTTTTCATCCTCTTTCAGTGGAGAATAATGATACTGCATGAATAAGCATTTTCATAAATGGAATCTTGTTTAATATTTAACATACTTTTAGAAGTTTTCCCTTTGCACTTCAGACAAACAGATAACTTCCTCAACCCAAGTGGAATGTGCAAGCCAGGTTGTAAAGCCTTACTCAAATGCATGCGAACAACAACATTTATTTATACTATTTTTATGGCAACACAAAAACACAAAGCCATTTTCAGACTGGTTTTAATTTCTTTAAATAACTTCCGTTTTCTGAACTTGAAAGCTTTCTGAGCCATTCATTTTGGTTTTGTTGGTTTTATTATTTTTTTTTTTGGTCTTGGCTCCTAGCTTCTCTTTGTTCCCTTTATTCTGACTGGTTGGAGAAATTCACACAAAAGCTGGGCAACACTGATCCGTACAACTTGCATTAGTGTGGAAACTTTCTCATATTAAAAAGTTGTCGCAGGTCTAAAAATAGCTCTTTCATCTTTTAGCTCCTGGTACAGCTTTAGTAGCCCTCACATTTGATGTACGCATCACACTCTCTTCTATTTTTCCTCACTGTATTTATTTCAATACAGTATAATAACATTTCAGAAAAAAAATGTGTGGCTGCAAGCCAAGACCTAGAAGAGCTTGGGGTATTTCTTAATGCAGTCATTTGTATCGTTGCCGCACCTCCACAGGCAGCAAGGCTCATACATTTAATTAGATCAGTTTGCCTCAGCCATCATGCATGATTTAAATATTTATGTAAGTTTGAGCAAAATGCAGTACATGTTTGAAAAGCTGTTTGTTTTACCATCTGTAAACTCCAATTTACATCATAATAATACATTAAGTTATCTTGCATCCACACATGATTGTAAGGAGCCAGTCGTTCTAGATAATTCACCTCAAAAGCAAAGCTTTTTCTTAAAACATGCTTTTTGGCAAAACAGCTTCTCTTGTGTCACTGTTGCTACTTTGAAAGTCACTCTGTGAAGTGAAGACCATGTTCCTCGCTGTGCAACAGAGTAAATGATAGATCAGCTGTACTGTATAGCTCTGCACCTCGGTGTTTAACAGGCGTGTCTACAGTCTGGGTGTGCTGTAGAAAGTAGGTTTTTATTCTCAGATCCTATGCAAAAGGTCATGTTTTATGTTGCCATTCCCGAATTGTCAGTTTGTCCCCGTCTGCCTCAGTGGACCAAAAGGAAGTGGTGATTCTGTGCTTCGAAAGAATGCTATCAGGGGAAAGCAGAGACCAGTACCAGAGCCATTCATCTTCCAAACTGTACAGCTTTGATGTCATGGTGGTCTGTATAGGAAGAAGTGTTTCGTTAGGAAACCGAGGGGAGAACAAAAACAAGTGTTCTTGTTCAAGAGAAAAACGTGGTCAGTGATTCTGAAAAATACAGATACACAAACACCATCCACCTAAAGTGTAGCCTTCCTGTTTTATAACCCTGTAGTGTAGCGATATTTCTTTGACCTCAGTTGCAACCCCTGAATTCAGTGTCGTACATCAAGCTTTGCTATCAGATACATGTTTTATTTCACCGGTCTGCTGCATATGTTCTCTTTGAAACTCACCTTAGACGCCCTTTAAGTAGGAAACTCTCCTTTATAAGTGCACAACTGCAGTAGAAAAATGTTATCGGACCATTTACATTATCCACTGGCACTTGTAACACGAGTATGATTATATTTCAGGCTGGCAGATACTTAAATTTGTTGGCAGAGAGTCTCTGTGGCCAACCGTGATGTTTAATAGATCAAGGAGGCAGAGGAACCCAGTGAGACACAGCACATATGTGCATGTCACTAACAATCTGCAGCGGGCAGGGGGCTGATAGTGGACTGCACAATGGCAAAGGCAATGAGGCCAAAGCAGAGGTGGATGCACAAATGTATTCACTGATTTTATTATGATAGAAGAACTGGCAGTGTTGCTTTTTTACTCAAATAATATGGATGATATGCAGTAGTCCATCAGTGCTACCCTGTTGAATATTTAATTATCATTGAATTAATAAATAAGTTATTTTTAGCCATGATAGCACCACAGCTTTATACAGCTGTCTGTATATCTCGGCAACTGTTGGATGGATTGCTGTGGAATTTGGTGCAAACAGTATTGCCCCCCGCAGGATGACTTGAAATAACCTTAAAGCGGCAACAAGCAACTTTTATTTTTTGTTGATTCTGGTGGCCTTTGTGGACAAAAGCAGTCTTTCCACCTACTCGTTTAATTGATGTTGAGGGGATTCTGACTTAATCTGACCCGGTGGCAGGCATCTTCTCGCCATCTCGCATCTCTGTTTAATAACCAGTTTTTACCATCATTTCAAAATCGAAATTTTTCCAATTATTGGGTTCCTAACTGAATGTATGCCATAGCTGTATTTAGCTTAGTGCTAATGAGAAAATGTTAGCATGCTCTCCCCTTTAACGAAGATGGTGACAATGATAAACATTGTACCTGCTAAAACATTAGCATGTTAGCATTGTCATTGTGGGCCTCACAGAGCCTCTAGCATGTCTGTAGATTCTTAGTTTGCTTCTATGTTACAGCTGCACAGCTACATCTGTTTCAGCTGAGTGTTTTTTTCTGTTGACATCCACCTCAGTCACTTACAGTGTATGTGCTAACGCTGCCAGCTAGAGGTGCACTGGGCCAGCGTCGCCCTGCTGTGGGTATTTCATTTGCATCAGATCAGAGTCTCAGCATGTCCAAGACAAGATTCCATCCTCTTTTCTTTCCATAAACAATAAACCCAACCTTTTTGTAATAGTTCCCTGAGAGACTGTTGAGAGACATCGCAGTTATTCGAAAAGGCCAGTATCCCTCCATTTTTTTAATATGAACACATATTCTGTCCCTGGTCCTCCCAGCTGTCTTTTGTGTCAACAGTAAACTGTAGAAACTCCAAAACAGGATGTCTGTTAAATTGTGATATCCAAATCAAGTCTAGTTTTCTTAAAAGGTTGTAGGCCTTTGCTTTTTGCATTTCAAGATACTGTAGTTGTGTTAAAAATGAAAACTTATTTTTTTAAAGAGACCTTGAATTGCTGGCTTAAAATCTAAACTTGTATGTGTACAACTGTGCACATTGTACTGCAGTGCATTGAGATAGGATGCCTGGTGTTTTCTTTTTGTAGAACCTACCTACTACTGTACCTTCTCAGGTGAACTGACCTAGCTTAACGCATGCTCCTGAGGAACAGATTGAGGTTGACCGCATGCTAGATCCTCTACATTTATTTTTTTGAATGCTATCTTCATTTGTATGCATGAAATACATGGAAGTGCTTTCTCTCTCTCCCACCATCGTATATAAATATGAAATATATCATGAAGTTTCCTTGCAATATTTCTACAATGCACTTTTAAAATCTGTAACCTTGAGAAAAAGTGATGTATATATTCGGTATATATTCTACACAAGATGCTTTTTCTTGCATAGAGGTAGCGAGTGTGCAAAGCTCGAGCAGAGAAATCAAATACTTGAGCTTGAATACTGGCACATTGCTACAACTAACTAATGATAGTTATATTCTGTAGAAATTTTGTAATTACTTCTATAAATTACAAATGTACTGGTAACACTTTTAATGACCCCAGCATATAAAGCCATCTACCTGTTGTTAGGGAAATGCTTTCTTGTGTTGAAACTTGATCATTCTTAACATCAATTGTTATGCACACATCCATAAAGCCACTGTCAACTATTAATAGTTTCCTAATGTTGTATAAAGCATTACAGCTTTGTTAGTTCTGGTTACACATGTAAACAGATGTGGAGTTTGATGTCTTTTATCAGGTAAAAACAACATTTAAATCTGATATGTTCAGTACCAATTTTACACAGCTTTGCTCATAATGCTTTACATATGGAGAACTAAGGTGTTTCATGGTCGATTTTTCAATACCTTCCAACAGTATAATAAATATTTCTAATGATAAAATATATTAAATTCATGCAGCCAAGACCCCAATAAGCAGCAAGACATCGATGGATGGATAAGCCAATTAAAGAATACATTAATTTAAATCAATTAGTCAGTTTTTGTTAAAACTGCCACCTGATGTCCATTATCAGTGAGTTTCCTCGCTGCTGCTGCAGTTAGCAGTAGTGACAGTGTTAGCTACAGGTGTGATGGTGCTGAATGAAAGGACTGAACTGCCTCCTGCGGCACAATCTACTGTCGCAACAATCCCACTTTCAGTTTGTAGGTGTGTAACGTCACCTGACAACCTGCAATCTGATACAAAAACACTTCTAACTAACAGAACTGCCTGCAGCAGGCAAGAGACAATATTACTCTTGTAAAGAACTTTTAAGGCCTTTGTCTTTCTCATTGACTCAATCAATTAAGAGTTCAATGCTTTTTTCAAGACCTCCAGATATCCTGTATTTATGTGTTTCATTTTGAGCACTTTAGTTCTCCGTATTTATAAAGCATTTGTTATTGCTTTGTGAGTGTGGTAATAACAACTTATAGATGTGTTTAGTCCTCTTGCATTAAATCAAGTTCTCACTCTATTAAGCATTGATAAATTGTTACTACCGGCATCATTGGTTGGGGTTCATAAAGGTTATCAGTACATGTTGTGTACATTTCTTTCTTCACTCCTTTGATTCAACATGTGTACAAAGGCAGTTTGTTCTGGTTTATTTATTGATGCATCAGATATGTATGAATAAAATGATATTTTGATGAATGAACTTAGAAATTATCTACTTTATATACAGTTATTCATTTATTGAAACACCTACCTATAATGCATATTACTCTCCCTGTATAATCACAAGGAAAGCATTAGCACCTTTGAAACTTACAATATGAAAGTAATCTTTTAAAATAAACTATTGTTATATATTGTTTGCTTGTGTGTCTTCATTTTTCTGGAAGAAAGTCACACTTGAACTGCAGTTTGTTGTTCATTCTTAAAGAAGCCAAGTCTCAACAAAGGTGTAGTTTATTAAATTATCCAAACCTCGTAAGTAAACAGTGCCACTGAGTATACTGTCATTACTCTATTCACATACACCTAAGCCATATTTGGATAAATGCATACATTACAAAAGTCAACTTAAAATAATCCCTTCAGGAAAACTATGTAATGAAAACTACAGAATTGGCACAAACTTGTTTGCAAAAAAGGCAACAGAGTAAAAACAGGTGAAGAACCTTTTTGACATTTAGTTAAATGAAAAAAGAGAATAAAACTCACAAAAGTACATTGTACAATCCAAATGACTAAATGTCAACGTCTAGTGCACATGCGGACAGTGAAAAAGCTTTTTTGTGACAAATTGAACCGTAGAGAAAAAGAATGGAAGAGACCCAGCTGGAGGGAAAGCTGAAACAAAAAGACAAAAATACAAAGACGATAACGTAACCTGGAGGATGTGGGGAGAACAAAAGGTGCGGAGAAATAAAAATTGCACAAAATATCTGAAGGAACTCATAATTAAACATCATTAAGAAAGACGAAAGGTTTATCACCCATCCGCAGAAACACTGACTTTAGCAGGGTTTGACATGAAGATACATTTGGTTTCTGACAAAAAAAAAGTTTTTATAGGAAGAACGGCAGAAACACAAGACTTGCATAGAGAGACTTTTTTGAATTCTCTGCTGCATAGACAATGAACACTGCAGCAGTTTATCAAGTAGTATCTGATGAAGTAGAGGGGTTGAAATATAATAAAACTCAGTGCAGTCTAGGCAGAGTTGTTAAAGGGGAGCGCTGAAAGATAAAGATTTTTTTGTCTGTAAAGACATTAGCTGTCGAGGAAAGTGTGAGTGATGAGATTGCTGAAAGACATTTTTAGGGACAGTCATATTCCTTCACTATCTTTACTACCACAGTTGTTTAATAGATATGCAGTAAAATATGTCTTTTATTAAGAAATGTCAATTTATTGTCCTCTCCATAAACGAGAGGTAATGACTCCAAAATCAGCTACAAATGGAACTATTAATAAGGTATCTACTAAGGTATCTTTTTTCAGCAGAACTCCCCTTTAAAATATGCACCCGGAAGCGCAACATTGAGTGACAGACAGTTCGCCGCACGTCAGGGTCACCAAACTGGAATTAAGCGTTTGTGCACTTAATATTTCACCGAGATGCAACAGATAAAAGCAGATTCAAGTCCAGTTCCACGTAGCTCACGAGTTTAACTTGTAAATAGAGAACATGAACCATAATGCTGAGAAGTTGTTGACAATCAAAGGCTGTAAATTCACTAATAATTGACAAACAAGTATGTCATATCTACATTGAATCTGTCCGGCACATTATGAACATACTGAGTAGATAAATGAGTACAGAGTCAGTGGACAGTGAGCACGAGGTTATAGTGACCAAACAGCAAAGGGCCAGTTTCTACGTCCGCTGTGGCATCTGAATATTAAAGCTGAACAGGAGGTTTTGGTTGCAGTGAGCACCATGAAGTTATACATTCAGTACTGCAACATGTCTGTTAGTACAAGAATGCACATTTTCGAGGAGATACAGGTCACTGTGCAGCTTTTGTCATGTAGTAGAGAGTTGGTTGTGGTGCATATATTGCTTTAGAGGTGAAAACAGTTTAGATGCATAACTGAATTAACTGACCTGCAAAAAGTTGTAACAGGTCAAGGAAAACATTCATTTTAACTTTTGGGTCATAGTCTGAATCTGTCAGTGTGATAAAGGAACCAAACTGGACCGGCTGCAGCTATAAGTTAAAGTTTTGCCTACAATGCAAATATTTTGCAAATTAGGCAAACACAATTAATGACATAAATTCACTCCGGGATTGAGGACACTTCATAGACTAATGGCCACTTTAAGGATTTGCAGACTCAACAGTACTGAAGTTGAAATTTAAGATATCACATTCAATATCTTATAGCTGGTGAATAAAAAGACCACTTCAGCAGCATCAGGTGCAAAATATGAACTTGTTATAGTCAAAAGGTGCTTTCCGGGAAGGAAAAATACTTGTATCTTGATAACTCAACTGAAACTTTCTTATTGAAAAAAGCACATCATCTCCAGGTAAAACGGGGGCAGGTTTAAGTCACTGTACTTTTAACTAAGCTACATTCTATTCGTGGCCTTCCTGGTGCTCTCCTTCAGTCTGAAACCTGTATACAGTATGTTAATTTCTCTGTATCCAACCAAAACATTTTAATTCTTGTTGTCCTTTTTAATTTCCTGGGGATGAAAAACATTCTTTCGTATTTCAATGTCAAATGCAAAAACCACCAGCAGCACAGTAATTTCTTGTTTGTTGTTTCAAATGCAGTTTCAAAGCATTTCAGGGCTGGCAGTGAAGCACTCCCATTTCAATATACATTTATAAAATGTACCACTTTGAAAATCCTGGCACAGTAGCTGAAGGCATAGAGGAGGAACAATGAGATTTGATATGTGACATTATTTTGTGTACAAAGCACTCCAGAAGTGGAAATTGCACAAATCCCTCTGTACCTCCAATGTCGAGAAAATGTCTTTTCTTAAACACAAACACTGAAATATACATTTAAAGCACGACATAACACAAATGCACGATAAGCACATTGCTTTCCCTTTCTGACCAGTGTTCCTGGTTGCTTGAATGACATCACGGTCAGGCGAGCAGCTGGTCTGAGAGGTTACTTCCATTGTTTCCGCTGTGGCTGTTAATAAAGTTGTCTGCCAGTCTTCGGGGTGAACGACCACGGTTCTTTAAAAAGGTTGCATGGTGGTGGGGGCGGTAACTTTAATTTAACTGCTAGACAGTCGATGGTAAAAGTAGATGTAGCCCAAGTCTTTTGGAGGCCTTTCTGACAAACACACTTTGTGGTCGTTGTAGATCACCCACCTACAGAAAGAAAGAACATTTGTGGATAATGTTGATTTTACTGCAGTGCGAAATGCCACTTCTTTCAAAACTGACTATGAGGACAGAGGAAATGGGTCAATTTATTTTTCCATTCAGGCTAAAAAATAAACTGTCCCTGCAATTTTGAATAATTTATTTTAGACTTCTGGTGGAAAAAGCTTAATAATAAAAGTAATAACTGAATTTGTCTATATTTGACATGAAAGTAAAAGGCTCTGAGATTAGACCATTAACAACAGACATTTGTGTGACTAACAGGAACACAATGAACTGAATGAATATAAAACTGTGTGCAACTAACCTTCCCTCCTTTTTGATGTGACAAACATAATGTCCAGACATTGTGGATGCTCCCATGTGGCTGATAAAAGCAAAGAGCTCATAACCTGAAAAAGGCACATATAGAATACATGATAATTAACACAGCAGGGTTTCACAACTAGTAAATTTCAGACACATATCTGTTCCACAACTTGTTTAAATGAACCTGTTCCGTCAACGCATACTGAGCCTCGACTATAAAGAGTCTTTTAAAGCCTCCACACAGATGGAGACGATAAGTTAAAATGGCAGTTTCTGTTTGAAATGCCTTCATGTTACAGATCAAGCACAGCATACGAAACTAATCATAAAGATTAAACATACAGCTATATAATCATCCAACATTAGTTTTTATAGATTTTCTCCGCTTCAAGAGCACACAATTTACAATAATGACCAGTAAACAGTGGAAAGGACAACTCAGAATATACTTCTGCGAATAGTGAAGAGAATTAATTAAAAATGAAAAGCCAGAATGTCTGCGTTGCTAAATAATTCATGATTTTCACCCTCGATGTTGCATGGTTGTTGTTTAAACGCTATTGGTATGCAAGTATGTATGTGCATTATTATATTGTGCATATTTTTGTGAGGAGTGTTAAGAGTTAAAAAGCTCCTGAATCATGTTTTTGATGCCACTGTGCTCAAAGTCGGTCTGGCAGGGCAGGTCAGTGCCCGGCAGCACTAGAGTACACTGTGTATCAGTGGCAGACATTAATTGGAGCTGAGGGTAAACTGCCCTGTGAATGTTCATAACACACAGGTGAAATTAAAAATCAGGAGCTGGAAAACCTGCAATACTTTTTTTTATTTTTTACTCTGACCCTTTGTTAATTTCTTGGTAATGCAGATCTTTGTGTTGTAAAATAATATATAATATGCTGATTCGAAATGTGACTTGTAGATTAAATAAGTCAACCTATTATATTTACTTTCAGATAAGGGTTAATAATAAATAAAGTCAAGACAGAAACAGCAGCTACAATCAGTGAAATCACTCACGTCCTGGTCCATCTTTGACCCGTGGGCCCGACGCGTCTCTGTCTGGAGACAGCGTGGAGTCGCTGTGTGAGTTGGCATTGGAGAAAGCGTTGTCGTTGGGCTCTGTGTCAGCCATGTCTGAGATGACGTCACTCTCCTCCTCCTCCGGGTGGGTGAAGATCCAGTCGAGTGCTCGCTCTAGGTTATTGTTCTGAAAGGACGTTTCGAGTTTACTACTAAAGTTCACTGAAATCCCAAACTAAAAATGACTTTACTATGCCAGTAATGAAAATGTCAGTGGTGCAAATGTAAATAAATAATCCACGACTTTTTTCCTTTTACTGTTGGACTCCAAAATCAGGTTTAAGCCATTTCATAAAAGCTTTACATTTGCTGTTTTTATGTACTGCCCTTTCCTGGGAAAATCCTCTGTTGCACAGAAGCTGTTGCATAATATGCTAATGACTCAAGGAGCACTTTCTTTGAAAAACTACTAGTTGTAACAAGAAATATTAGCACATAGAAGACATATGGCCTACAGATACAATGCATATGAGGACAAAATCAGGCCTGAGGATAAAAAAAACTTTCCTATCCTAAGTTGTTTTCTCTCTATTAGTCCTCTCTATTATTCCTTTGCTGTTGTATCTTTACGTAGCTAAAAATGTTCAAAATAAGCAATCATTTATCAGGGACGTGGCAGGCATCCATCTGTGCTAAATTCCCCCTGAGGATGTTTGCTTTTAATCCAAAATAGAGGTGTGATTCCTGGAGAATGTGTCTTTTTTGGCATGTGCAGCCGCCTGCTTTTTCTGTTTTTCCATGTCAGGTCAGTGAGGTTGAAAAAAAAAAAAAAAGTTCCTCCTGCTAATTTTGGGCTAATAATAAACCAGCCATGAGACCCCACTCTGCTTCACACCTCCATCTCCCTCATGAGGGATATGTGTTCATTTTTTTTCACTTCAGTTTGGTGGCATTGGGGGTGATAAACAAGGAAGCCTGGTGTCTATTTCTGTGTCTTAATAACAGTCTGCTGGGCTATTTTTGCTGAGGGGGCAGTTTGAAATACGAAACATGAAACGTGAGAATCGGGGGCCATTTCAAAACAGGAGACATAATATATTTGCCTCAGCTACATTCCCTTTCATTCAGATAAAAAAAAAAAAACCTTTGTCATTTGTGAGATGTGATGATAAAATGGCTCGAAATGTCACAGAGGCAGATCCTGTTCCTAAACCTGAAAGGCTGCATTAGCGGCGGCGTGACGTCCATATGCTGTTGGGACTCTTTGTAAACACCATGTAGAGCAGCCATCTTTAATCACTCCGACATGTAGGACCTATTAAATTTGCAGTTTGGAAAGCAAACAAATAGGCCAGCCAAGCCCATTTATGACTGACTGAGCTTGGTTTTCATCATCTCACCCTTTCTTTGCCCTGTTTTCAAACACCGGCTCGCTTCATGCCAACCTGCTGGTGACGCTTTTGTTTTTATTGACCGGGACAGACTTCCTTTTTCTGCGGTGTCATGCGGCCGTTGCTTCCCAGAGACTCTTATCAAACTGTGTGGGTGGTTCTTTGTCTGCAGATTTTCTCATGACTGTCTTTTTTTTAGCTCTGTAGAACTTTTTATTGTCTCTGTGAGTCACAGACTGACTTTCCATAAGTGGTGCTCTTTTCTTTGTCAGTTAAATCATGGTGACCAACACCGCAAAACTAGCTACTCTTCCTTTTCTGGCTATTCAGAACAAATCACTGTTATCACACAAGCACAATGCATCACTTCATGTACAGCAGAGGATTTTAAGTCTCAGGAGCAGAAGACGACTCATAAATTAAGGCTGATAAACAATAAACAGACAACTCCTAATAAGAAAAGTTAAGGATTAAGACCCATCTGAATTATCAGCTGACAGAAACACATTAGTAAAAGGAAAGAAAAACGCCTGGAAAAGAAATCTCGGTGCTAAGCTAATGATAAAGTTATTTATGAGTACACAAAGTGCAAACATAAACAGAGTGGGCAGAAGACTGACCGTGGCTTTGAGTGCATGGATGCTGTGAGCACGGGGGAAGCCCATTGAAGTGAGGATGGCGATGCTCTCCTCGGGGGGAGAGTTGCCCAGTGGGGTGGCACCCATGGTGCTGTCGCTGGTGGAAGGACCAGGATCTATCATGGAGGGCAGAGTGAGAGGTTCTGCAAAGTCTGAAAAAAGAGAGAGAAGAATAATAATGAGATGCTGTAGCTTTCTATTTATTTTTAACCCAGTCAATGAATATATTTTTGTTGTCGGTCAGAGTTAGATTAGTTTAGTTTTGTGGATGTTGATGCCTTTATTAATCCCTCTAAGCAAATTCATTCTCTGCATTTCACCCACAACCCCAAGAACTAGGAGCAGTGAGCAGCCACGTGCTGTACCCGGGGGACTGACTGGAGAAAACATACATGTTTTGATGGTGGGGGGGAAACTGGAGCACCCAGAGCTAGCCCACAGAAACACGGGAAGAACATGCAAACTCCAGACAGAAAGGTCCTGAGCCAGCTGGGAATTGAACCCAGGACATTCTTGCCGTGAGGCGACAGACACACAACTAGTACATGTAAACATCCGTGGAGGTGGGACCCTGGATACTTTAGTACTGGAAACAGTATCTGATACAAAAGCACCCTGTGGCATGTTCATGTCAGAGTCAGGATTAGTAGTGCAAGTCCATGCGTCTCTGACTATGGATAATGTAGGGAGTATTTCTTGAGAAGCAAAAGATCTGCAATGGTGAAACAGATCCTTAATATGGCTTCTGTTCAGAGGAATGCATACAAGAGGAACATTGCATGAATTTAAATAGATTCAGGGAGCATCCTCAACTAAGAATGAAGTATTTCTGATTTGCCACTGCAAAGCTTTGTGCACCTTGAACAGATTCAAATGAAAGGGAAGTGACTCTCAACCCGGGCACAAGGACACTCCTACTGTAATTACTCTGCTGTTGGCCATAAACAGAGCCTTCATTACTGTCCTTGCCATAAATGAAAATGCATACCACTTATATCCTACTACCATCTCTATCTCAGTCTCCTTGTCTTGTGTCCTTTAGATTGCCCATGATACAGTGGTTTTTAATGCGACAGCAGGAACGCTCTGCAGGCAGAGAAATAAGTAGTAGCTGACCAACTCATGTTTCCAAGTTAAATTGAATTACTGTTAAATTGGTTGCTGTTGTTCAACTTCTGACATTATCTTTGACAGATGTCATAACAGCCTTTATTAAAGACATGTATGAAGTTTATATGCACTCTGGTCCTCTCACAGTCCTCTCATGAAAAATAATTGAGTCGTCTTGTCTGCACAGTGCTTTGGAAATGCACCTCTTAGTTAGTTTACCTTTGTAAATGCAGCACTTAGGTTCGCCTCAGTAAAAAGAGTGGTCTGTGGTACTGCGTCTAAAAATTATTAAGTAGAAAGTTTAGTTGTGAAAGAATAAGTTGAAGTAATTCTAATGGGAAAGTAATGAAACCAAACAAATGTGGGGCAAACAGAAGAAGTAACATTTGTGCAGTAGGCAGGGACGGACCGTTTTACTAATGTTATTGAGCCTGAATGAAGCCCATTTTACAGAGGCATTAGGCCCATTTAAAAACTAACAGGCAGGGGGCTGCTCTAATTTCCCTCCACTGTAGAGGCCCTTTACAACCAACCAGGGAAATAAAAGTGACACGAGTCAACGCCTCAGGGGAACGTCTCTACTGCTGAGAGGCTCTACAAGAGACAAAGTCAGCTCTGACAACGTTTCTGGTGAAGATCTCACACACAGCCATGCAGAAATAAATACCTGCAGTACACAAAGGGATGCAATGTCTGACACTTGCAAAAACAACTCTGATTTCTCTCTGTGGAAGAACTTGAGAGATGTGATGTGTCTCTCACTTTAAATTACCTTTGTGTATTAAAAGTTCCCATAAAGATAAACGTGCCTCTGTATACCTGCTGCATAGGCACAGTCTTTACATGTGAGCTGACTGGCTTGCCGAAACAGTATCACTTTGTTTTTTTCCTGGTTCATTGCCTTGAACTCAGTGCCCACATCTCAGCATCTAAGGCTCACCTCTTGAAGTCTGCTGACTCTGCTTATTGAAATTGTTGGAGAACTGTGGGTCTTTCACTGCAGCTGCTGTGCAGATTATTTGTCACCAGTATCTTGAATTCTCAGGGGTTACAGTTACCTCTTTAACAGTTAACACTCACTTAACACTCACATATGTTGATTAAGACTGTGAGTCTATATGTTGTATGTAAATCTTGTCCTTGTCAAATACCCCCATATTGTAAAAAATGCTTAAATAAAGCTAACTTTATGAAAATACTAAAAACTGAACTAAAGATAAACATTTTTAAATAATAAAAACTAAATTGAAACAAGCAAACCCACTCTGAAAACTAAGTCTGATCTAAACTAATCTGAATTGGAAACAAAACTATGATAACTATCGATGAACACATGTTCATATAAGTTTTCACTGTGCAACCCGCCCTTGAAAGTTCTACATAGTGTTAGCATCCTGCGGGCCAAAGAGTGGGTGGTAAAGGTTGCCCTTCATGTCTCCCCTTTGGATGGTAAATTAACTCAGTATCGATACATTTGGGTGCAGAGACATGTTAGTCTTTCTGCTTCCAGTAAAACTATGACTTTGCTGCAAATGCACTGGTTTAGGTAGTGCACTCCTATGTGCACATTTACTATATATGTAAAAAGTCTCAATATGTGCGTCTGCTGATCTCTCCACCATTGAATGCAGTGATTTCCTCTTACCAGGCTCCTCCATGTGGGCTATGATCCAGTTAAAGGCCATCTCGGGGCCCATGTTGCCTGTGTAGTAGACCGCCTTCCTACAGGCCTCCACCGGAAAGCCCATCTCTGCCAGCTGCATTACTGCCGCCTCGTCTATTTCTGGAGCTGGGGACACAGCAAACCGACATCGATAACTAAAACATAGCAGTTGCTGATTCAACACTACCGGAAACCTTCCAGTTTAAACAACCAAACAGGATTTTGAAAAAAAAAAGAAGTGTCTCTCTCTCTCTCTCTGGGCCTCATTAAACAAAGAGACCAGAAGAGTATCAGCCCTGGGGAGGTTTCTTTATCGAAGGATGATTTATCAACGAGAGGAATGAGTCTGGCTAAAAACAAGTAGAGCCCAATGGAAAAGTAAAGTTTGTTTGGAAGTAGAGAGCAGCTGCAGCACCTGCTAGAGTATACATGTTCACAGGTTTGGTTCAATAGCATTCATCACTATTGCTTGGTGCCCAAAATAAATTTTCTTGGCTATAACTTATGTAAATGTTACATATTTATATACATAGTAGTGAGTAACTGAAAAGAGAAATGAAATACTCACAGTCTATGGAGCTCATGGAGTTATCTGAAACAAGGGGAAAGAAACTTATTTTAGTTTGACAGCACACAATGAGATCAAATACTATGCATATTTTGTTACTCGTTATTTTGTTTTATTTTGTGTGTTTGTGTTTTTTTTTAAATTTAGGAATATATTCCATGTGAGATCAGCTGCAATAATGAAGGTCTTAAAACTAGATTTTGACCGACCTTAAAGTGAGACTATGTAACTTTGGTTGGTTGGTCTGGTATGACCAGTAGCTTATGTTGGCTAACGTTAGATAACTTTAGATAGATAATTCTGTCAAATGGACACTGCTGAATCATTTTGCTGACTGTATTTCTACTTATGCTGTCGTTGCACTGTGTTTAAACATTTACCATAGTCTCATAATTGTCACTTTTGGGCACAGGGGCTGCTGTTTGTCAAAACTTATATAGGCTCTCTGTAGCAGTAATCGTACTAGGGATGTCCCTTTACAGACAGGGCTGATCGTCAGAAAACACTGGGCAGGGTCCCGTCACCACCTGCGGTGAGGAGACTGATCGGCTCCCACTGTTCCAAAACACTGCAATCACAACTTGAGTGAATCGTGCTCCTATCAAACATGCTTGATTTTTTGTGATGCCTTGCCAACTGTGTTACTCTGGACTGTGAAATCTTAGCAGTGTCTGGCACCAATACTAATCATGAGGCACATACACATCCTTCAGTTATTTGAAGGTAATAATTATCTCCACATAAAGACAAAGAAATACCTGTTCACGCCTTTCTCGTTCTCAATCCTTTTACTCTACATGGACATAACATTGTTTTTTTGTCTACTTTAGCTGAGAGTTTTATCTGAGTCTATTTTTAGTGTTTGCAATGAAATAATGACCCAATAAAGTGAGTTGCAGTTTGTTTAGTTTCATTGTCTTGCTCATCCAATCTCTTTCTGTGCTTCCTCCCTCTCTTATAAAACTTTTTTTCCATTTTAAACTTGACAGTGTGATTAGGAACCAAAACCAGCAATCAATATCTATATGGTTTGAGCAGTTTTTCATTGTTTAAATGAAAATGGAATATCATAATAAAAAAAAAACATGATACAATTTTTTTGTCTTCCATTTTCTTAATGGCTTGGAATCACTGAGTAAATGGATGATACACAGACCAATGAGAAATAATGTGGTTCAAGCAGCAAAGAGGAAAACAGATTTGTGAGGTGCTGTGTAATCAATGAGAAGCACGGAAGCCTTTTGGAGACAGAAGGGTAACCAATGATTAATCATTCTTGATGCCAGCCGGGAGATAATGGGCCGGTGGTTAATTCGCAACCGACAAAACTCATCATATAAATGTGAAATAAATAAATAAATCAGAAGATGTATTGAAAGCAGAACATCATTTCCTCTGACCTCTTTTCATTTCATAGTTTAAACCGCATGATTTACACACTGGTGCTTGTTTTAACCTCTGTTTGTAGAAAGATACATTTTCTCCATTTCTATTATTGTTGTTAATTCTGTGTTTTCTAAAACTGTGAAATTTTAATTTTAGGCTCAAATAAGCCCACGTTGGTTATGTATTTTTTAAACTGTGCAAAAATGTAACTAAACTAAGGAGAAACTCTGACAGAACAGGACAGAAGTGCAAAATGACTCTACCACCTCAAACTTACTACATGCAAAAAACATTTACGCACGCGTAGATTTCACCGTGGCCCTCTAAGATAGCTGCATAGCTTGCTGCTGTCAGAAGTAGATATGCATTGCTGCCTGAGCAAGGTAGTTTCAGCTCAAAGAGAGGACGCTTTAATGTGTGACACTCTGAAGAGTTTTGAGTAGATTCTGCACTCTTCCAAAAAAGCCAATTTCATGTGTTTGGAGGTCTGAGATAGCAAGTACAGCACATAATGTGCAGTCCTGAAATATTAAGGCATACTCAGACAAACATGTTCAGACTTCTGTTTTGTCCTCTGAGTTTCCTGTCCCAAGAGGAAGCCGGCTAAACGATTCTCTCAGAAATGTGTGAAGCACAGCAAAAGCTGCTTGCAGATGTTACTGTGTCTTTGCTCCTTGGACCCCGTTTTGTGTTTGGAGCTTTAGACGGTACAGAACACTTTGTGCTTCACGCCTGCTAAAATATTAAGGAGCACACTGAAACTTGATGTAGCTGAACTGCAAACAACGGAGGGGGGAACAGAGAAATGAGAATTATAATTACAGAGACAAAGAAAGACAAACCAAAGGGGGGAGGTTGTAGTTTTGGCCTTTAGGAAGAGGCTAACAACTGGCTCCATTACACATTACACTGTATGTAATACTGGAAATATCACTGAACAAACAGTGTAATGCAAATAAGTTTCAGCAAAATTAACAACAATACTGCTTGTGCTCTAAAACGCACTAACTAGCTTCTAGTAGGTTATTTTCAGAGTCCAGGGAAGTGCATTACAAGGGGATCTCATAAAATCCTTCTACCTTATTAGGCTTAGCCGCACTGTGAACACAACAACTTTTCCGTAATTGATTGAGCATGCCTTTCCCATGGGATTCTTTTCAATATGCCCTTAAGAGAAAACCTTGGTGGCTTTGAGCAGAACATCATATTAGAGACAATTTCACGGATCATTTGTCTCTGTCACAAAAATACTCTAATGTACACCTCCTGAAAAAAATGGAACAACACACATCTGGGTGGGCTCTCAAAGCAACACTGTATTAGCAGTTCACTGGGAGAAATCTGATACATACTGTCTCATATAATGAGAGGTGTTTCTAGTATACTGCACACTACATTTATATAATTGGAGTGGACAAAATGTGTTCGGCTATCTGGGTAAAACAAATATGAAAAACAGGTGCTCAGGGAAAATAATGACCTTTAAAATTAATAAGAGGACTGTGAAATTGAACATGAAGGGCAAAAAATGCCCCTAGTAGTAAAGAATGGGTTTTGCATTTATGCATGCATGCATGCAAATCCCCCTGTAGGCCTCTGTAGGTGAGTCATGAGAGCTTGTGACCAGGGAGTCCTTTATCAGTTAATTCTGCCTGAGACAAATAGAGCACGGTCTGTCCGAAGAACAGCAAAACCAAATGGTGGCTCCACCTTAAACTGCAAGTAAAATGGACGTGTTCTGTACCTCTGGTGTCTTCAGGTAGCACGATGGGAGGCATGAGGTCAGGCAGCTCCTCCTCACCCGCCTGCAGCCCCGTGGCCCGCAGCCGGCTCAGATCCAGAAAGTCTGGAACATCGATGGCCAAGTCTGAAGAGGAAGAGACCAACATTAAACTCAACTGAGGAATGGCTATGCTGAGGATCAGAGACTTTGCTGTAAGCCCCCCTGAAGCTGTGGTTCTAAAAGAATCTCAGGGCTACAGTGATCTTAGCCTGATCTTAGCCTTACACTGAAAGTGAGTCCAGAGCAGTATCCTTGTTACCTTTTATTAAATCTATCTATGGTTTGTTATTTTCTTTTAAATGTTGGTGTGTTTTAATCCAATCATTGTCTGTTATCATATTTTTTAGTTTAGGTGGTGACACCTCTCATAGTTCCTGCTCAGCAGTATGCAGGAAAACAAATGAAGTTGCTACCAAACTGAAAATCTGAAATATACTGTTACAGGAGTTACATGCAGTCCCTGTTGCAGCATGACTTGAGTCTCCTGCAAGTTGGGAGGTGACACTCCACCTACAAAACATAACTGTGACAGTAACCCATGTAAAACTGCCAAATATAATACTGAGGATCATGATTTATAAATATCAGTTTACACAACTGAGCTATCATATGGCCATGTCTCATTAATAAAAGAGTTAAACACTTAAACCTTTGATTTTGTTGGCAAAGTCATGAGGGTCACTGAGAGTTCATTTCAAGATGCTGCAAGACACTTATCTGAATTCCGACGTCACGTTAAATTTAAAACTCCAGCAGTCCTTTAGAGATATGAACAAGATGAAAGATGGAGTAGTTCATGACTATGTGTCCAAAATTGCAGGTGAAGCAATTCCTGAATTTCACTTAGGCAGCAGTTTTACCTACTACTGTACATGCCTTGTGAATTGCAGTTTAATGGTGCCCTCTGCTGGGCATTTATAGCACTACAAGCACTTATAATAAAGTCACAATATTGGTGGAGGAAAGTAAAAGATATTTTAAATCCCATGAATCAGTGAAGGATAACAGTTACCTAGTTTCTTCGGCACCCAGTCAACACCGAATGTAAATTTCTTAATCTGCAAAATCAGATACTCTGGGAAGGAGGCGAAACGGGAAGTTCTGCAGAGGAAAATAACAATTTTATAAATACAACTGGTTTTAATCAAAATATTCGAGGTGGTAAAGAACACTGAGCTGTAGAGAAGTCAATGCAGGACCAAGAACAGGTGGCCCTTTGCTTACTTGATTCCGGCTGACTTGGCCTGCAGCGCTGAACTCCAGAAGTCGGGGACGTTGTCCGGCTCTGTGAAGGCCTGCAGGCATGCAGTGAAAGGGATCCGTGCTCTCACCGGCTCAGGAAGAGACCGCATGTTCTCCTCAGCGTCCTTCCGCTTGGCCTCGTATGCCAGCAGCTCCTCTGGTAAAATGAAGATAAGAACAAACACTCTGAGCAGTGCAAATTTCTACAACACTCTCATAATATTTTAAAATCTAAAAAGTTAAATCAAGGGTGATGCAAGTTGCATTTTAAGTTATTTAAGGTGTTCATGTACCATTCAAGATGGCTGCTGACAAGATTGACAGCCACAGCTTCCATCTACCTCAGACAAAGTTTATCATCCTCACCAAGGTCACGTCTGTTAGGGTAACATTTGTAATTATACCGATATTGTCACAAATGCATATGTTTGCAATGTTACAAGGATGTTAGCTACCTTTAAATATCCTTAACAGAATGTGTAATAACAGTACACATATACAAAGCCATAAGCAGCCACATATTTTACTACTACACAGCTCTCAGCCGGGACCTTCCGTGCCCTTTCAGAGCAGAATCTGCCGATTCCTCCAGTAGCTGGTGCCACCTGAGCCCAGCGCCATGCCAGCTGTGCCGACCAAAGGCACCTGTTGATTTCTAAAGCAGCAGAACATTCGCTCCTTTACCTCGATTGGTAGCTGCCTCGATGGGGGCTGGCAGCTGGATGCAGTAGTCCACCCGCTGAGTGTAACGAACCCGACGTGACTGGCAGCACTGAATACGCTCCTCCACCAAGAAGCGGAAGACGTCACTTGGGTTCTCCGAGCCTGCGCTGTTCCTCTGTAAACATATAGGGAGAATGAGAGGGTGAGGTTGAACATCAGCAAAGAAATTAGGCCAAATATTAAAGTTTGATAATATAAGACCAGTGATGTGGTTCAACACTGATAAAATAGAGGTTTGATAAACTGTTCAATTTGCATGTTTAATATTTTTAGTCTGTTTTTTCCCCCAAATATTTCTTGATTTCAATGAAAAATTTAATCTTAATGGCAGACATGCTGTCAGGTGTAATGCTGTTGTAATACTTCTGTTTGATATCCTGCACCAATGCACCAGTTATACAAACATTAGCTTGGACATTTCTTGTGTCTTAAAGTCTGAAGCGGTCGAAAATACTTTTAAGAGTAAACCAGGAATAAACTAAACAAAAGGATTTAAAACAAAGTTATTTAGAATACTGCATGTGAGTTTAAGAACTGTACAGAAGCTGCTGTGACACATGACAGCCTGAAGTCGGAAATGCAACTCTATCTATAAGCTATTCTTTGCTGTGGTCCATTACAGTCTCCTGGCATGACTTCAACGCAACTGCTGTCTGACCCAGATCTCTTAATAAAGTCATTCATTCATGTAGATGCAACTCTTTAATTTAGGAACCACCTCATTTAACGGGACCCTGCATAACTGAGAGTGTTACATCTTTTCAGAATAACAGGCACATTAATTATCATCACTAAGCGGCTCTGTGCCTTCTATGAACAGTAGGGGTCATTAAAGTTTGCACAGTGTTTATTTGAAGGCTGTGATGAAGGATGGCATCGCGACCTAACACACCAATTTGCACTGCAACCTTTCTGCAACCCAGCCCTTCTATTCTAAGATGCTACATAAATACACAAGTTATATTTTTACTCAGGCCAAGTATGCTGGCTGACATAGACAGAGGAAAATGTTGCTGATGGTGGTGGCTTTAGTCACGTTATCTATGTCTGGATAACTAAATCAGTATCTAGTTTAAAGACAGCTATGGAGGCAAGTGGTCTTTTTTCTAAACAAACCAAGTTTGAGCACAAAAGCTGTAAAGCTTCTATAGATACTGGAGCCAATATGGAGAAATTGACGCTTGGGGAATTTGGGTGATATGTTTTGTTGTTCATCAGGCAGACTAAGTGTCAGGGCATGTATCAGGGCTGAGGCAGAATGGGAAGCATTATCTGGCCTCTCTGTGTAACAGATAGTACTGAGCTATATATATCTTTGGTTGAGAGAGACACGTCAGAGCACCCCATGTGTACGTACCAACCAAGGAGACAGAGCGCTGTGTTTAGTCAAAAACAGACTCTCCCCTCCCAATCAACTGCCTGTCCATGTGTGTCAGGGGTCAGAAGTAATGCAGCCATTTTGTAAATATGTTATGAGATCACTAGGGATGCACTGATTGGGATGCTGGGCCCATACCAATACTAATAGGCGATGTTGATTTTTTTTTGTTTGTTATTTATTTACCCTTTTGTGCCAGGGAAACAATCTACAAATCAACAAAGATACATGTCTCTGCCTTGTTGCAGCTTGGTCTATTTCTCTTCTCATCCAAGAAGTGAGATGCAGAGCTGAATGTCACTTCACTGTCCGAGCTACTGCATGAAGTACAAAGATATTTGTGTCCAATTTGTGCCAGTGATGGAAAACTGAGGTAATTATTTCTCCAATATCCAAGTTGAACATTTAGCCAGCGCAAAACTGACACAACAGATAAACACTGGCCAATAATATAATAATAATCTTATTCGTCAATAGGCCGATGTCAGTCAACAAGGCAGATACCAATTTTCGGCTGATAAATGGGTGCACCCCTAAATGTCAATGTAGTTCGTTTTGGGAGAGGCAGCTTTTTTTGTTGTTGTGTGTTTGTAACGTTAAATGGAATTAATTCCAAAGCTTAACATATCCATCTCATGAAACAACTGTTTTTATGTTTGTTTTGTTTTTATTTAATATTTTGACCTGCACATTTAGCTTCATTCACCTCCACAAGGTTGATCATGTGCAGGAGGAACTCGTGGGCATCTTGTTGTCTGTTGGAGGAAAACTCTGGGTGTCCCCTGCTGACCAGGGCCTTCAACATCCGGGGAGAGACACCCTTCTGCTGGTGCTGGAACGAGAACATTTGGGCGTCACATACACTTACTGTGCATGACCACTCATCTGTCTGAGGGGGAAGTATAAGACAAGACAGCAGACCAGTGCTGAATATTACAAATACACTGAAAGCAGCTCGGGGTAGCCAGCCAGTACCAGGCTCTGTTCAGGAGAAATACCAGGAAATCCAAAATAAAGCTCTATTAAAGAAAATTGATTTTTTTCAGTCAGCTAAAATGATCAAACGTTAGGTTAGCTAGCTAGTTAAACATGAGACAAGGTGACAATATCAGCGTACCAGCACGTCTAAAGCTCATTAATCAAAAGTTTTATTTTCAGCTGAGAGCAGTTGCTAGGCAACTAGCGGAACTCCAGGAAGTTACTGCCAGTCTTTATGCTAGGCTAAGCTAATCTCCTGCTAGGTTCGCCTGCATCACATTTAGGGAATGGACATGAGAATAGTAACAACCTTCTCATCAACTCTCCACAAGGCAAATGAGCATACTTCCCAAAATGTCAAACTATTCACTATTACTACTTTAACCGAACATAATGTGCAACACATATGCGGTATATTCATTTATCACGTTCATAATCGATTGATAAATCCAATGTGCAAACAACCCTACATTACCCTGGCAATCTATGTGTTGGCAGGGGAATCGAGTTAAAAAGCCATTTTAATGAGCAGCCATCATAAAATAGTAGGGTAATCAAAGGAGTTACCAATTACACTAATTAAGGTTCCATTCCATTTAGTGTATCAGATCCTTTCCAGTGAACCAACATGTACAATAACAGCACCCTGACTCTGTTTACCCTACTATTTCATGTCCAAATTGCTGCTGTGAAAAAGGTCTTTTGTAATGGGTAGTACAGACTGACCACAGCATGTCAACTCAAACCCCCGATATCGTCCCAGCTGTCAACATGTATCCAAACCTGACTCCAGCATCATGTGCAGGATCACAGCTCTGCCCTATCAATTACTGTGGCTGGTGAGGCTTAAAAGAGGCCCGGAGCTTACAGACCTAGTGCTGGATCCCATTATGCCTTAATGGTTTTCCTCCCCTAGTTTCCTGCCAGCTGTGCACATATTATGTGCATTTAAATTAGTAAAGCGAAACACACAAACAAATAATCAAGTACATAAATTAAACTGTTCAAGACCTTGAGAGATTGCAGGAAACACGAGACAATCGTTAAGTGCAGCTAATATTTGTGGCTAAATTAAGCGCAGATGTGGAGAATTAAAGCAAAACACAGGATTTGAGCTGTGCCTGGAGCTGTGTGCATAAACACTTTGAGTTGCACATTTGGGACCGCAGCCAAAAGCTATTTTCAGACAACAAGAAAAAGGTCAGAGCAAAAGAAAATTTGGCAATGTATCGAAAAAATAGTGTCTTCCTCTCCACCAACACCTCTCCGGCTGTCACAAGTACAAAATAGCTCAAGTGTATAAATACCAAAGATATACCGCAATTTGAAATGTTGTTTCATGTTTAAATTGGGAAAACATCAAACTGAAATGCCGAAACTCTGTCAACCCTAACAGTCATTAAATGAAAAAGAGTTTGCTACCACTCAGTATTAACATGCTTCTGGCGGTTATGGACCCAGTTTGGGAGCTGGACATACCCAGTTAAATACCTTGTGTTCTTCTTTCATCACCTGTTCAATGAGCTCAGATTTCATGGGTGGTTTCGAGTACTGGCCTGAGAGCAGTCCGTGTCCCAGTTTAGCCCTGTCAGACAAAAACACAGGCATAAACGTTGAACTTACAGTCAAGTCTTTTAGTTTTGTTCTAGTCTTGTTGGGGTGATTTCTAAGGGCACATGTGTCTTTACTCGTCAGAGCAGACATTTCAAAACCTTCAGTCAACACACCCGGGGCCCGAGGCAGCTAACTTGTTAACCCTGGCTCTTCAGTCTCACAAGGCTGGCTCCAGTTCAAACTCAGCTCTGTTGCTGTGGTAACAAACCTTTCAGGAATATATCACTTTTCCATCCTTCATCTTTTTCTCATTCTTCACTATTAGTTTGGTTCATCATTGGTCACTCCCGCAGACGTGGCATCTCTAATCTTTGCATCTCCGTATTTCATACCATTAATCTTTGTTCCTTCATCCAACTACAGACAGCCAATTTGGGGCAGTGACTCAACCCATTCATTCTTAATCAGTGTCAGTTTCTTCATATGAATCATATGCTGACTTACAAATATTAAGACAGAACATATGAAAGCAAGTTAAGCAAAATATCTCAAGAAGACTAGAATTGATTTTACCTGTAATATCCTCCTAAAAAGAATAAATTACAGAAGACTGAAACGGTATAAATATGATGATCCTTTTCATTTAATTTTTGGAATTTTATTTAACATTTATATAACCAGGAAAGCCTCACTGAGATTAAAAATCTCTTTTCTTCTCCTTCTGAATTTCCTGGCCAAGATATTAAGCCGTTATTAGGTACTGTCACCTATCTAATAAAGGCATAAAATGGCCCAAAATTAATTATACAAAAAAATAAATACAATAAATAAGACTAGTCTAAAACAATAAGAGTAAACGGGGTGCAGCACAAATTTGCTTGTGCAGGCTGAGCATTGTTTTTACATCAATACAGTATTCTTGTCTGGCTTTTTCCCCCTTTTATATTCATCTTGAAAGAAATTTCTGAATCTATTTCTGTACTTTCTTATTTATGCACAGGATACAGGGTAATATATTCATTTAATTAGGTTAATCCTACTATATTTAACGTTCACGCTCTGCCTTCAGTGCTTTTAAAGGGAAGGGTCATATTTAATCAATAGAGACCCGCTGCATTAGGAGACAGATTTTCTTTCTTAATGACCTGGTTTGTGCTGACAGGCGCTATCATATACAAACAGTCACAGATATAAACATGTTTATCTGGCAATGTGAAACGTTTGTTGCTTCACATAACTGATATTCATCGCCTGCCTGCCTGGCTTATACTCTACTTACCTTTCATCATGGCCACAGCATCTGACCAGCCTCTTGCAAAACACAACATACAGCAAGCATTTACCAGAACATATTGGGGGAGGGGGAAAGGCTTTCAACTGTATTAGCTTAACAGAGATTCATATATTGGCCATCTTAAAAAAACAACCCATGGCAAAACCTCAGTAGCTGGAAAACACCTTAACTTGTTTTGTGTGTTCGAACACTGCGTTATGTAACACTGGAGTCACTTACATTTGTGTGGCGAAGTCCTGGCTGGGGTCAAGAGGTGAATAGTCATATATCCTCTGAAGATTACCTACATACCTAAAGATCAAAATACATGTCACGCACACAGACACAAGACCAGTGGGAACACATGAGGTGGTAATGAGAAGACACTTACACTGTCTGCTGGTGGCCATATTAGTTATTAAGTATCAATTTTGATATTACTCTGTATTTAATCCAGAGCTAGAAAATCAACAAACAAAACAAAAAATCGATTGCCATCAATAACTACAAGGAAGCAAGTTGACAGAAATACTTTATGGAAATTGACTTTAACTAAATCAGCATTGCAAAAACTACTACAAAAGTGAGTCATATCAGGATGTCCATCTAGTTCATATACTAGTATTGTTTGTCAGTGATTGGTATACTTCTGTCATGATTTATCATTTGAATATTTAGTCATATTTATAGTAAGTACACAGTCTCTAGCTTGTCCCAAATGCAAAATAATTACTGGAATCAGGCTACATTGTCTTTGGGAAATTCAGTTATTCTGAAAGGCAATATTTGAATAATTAGGGTGATAACTGCCAACATTTATACATACTAGGAAGTATGCCAATTCTTTGAAGGTACACAAAGAAACAGATCAATTTCTCTAAATGTTGGCTAGAAAGGCTAGAATGACAAAGTCGGTTGGGGATGAGTCTCCTTCTGTTGTGGAAATCTCTGATATCTGATGTTGTCACTTTAGAGATGCTGAGATACCATATTGTTGGGAGAAGGAAGGAATTAAGTGCAGTTTGGCATATAGATAACTGACTAAGCTGAAGAATTATTTTGTTCATGTGCACCATTGTTCGATACTTCTGTGCTCTGGTGACTATATGAATGCGGTGTGTTCTTTTCCTGAGCCAATAATCCAAATACTTTGTATACGGTACTAAGTTGTTGTTTCCCCTTTGAAAATGAGATTCTGTTTACACTCAAAATGACTAAGACTACCCAAGCATGGCCTTTTTGTGCTATGATGTACAGTATGTATATAATGGCGTGTGAAGTCTCATCCCAGTGTACTCACATCCTCTGGAAGTCTGGGATGCTGAAGAGGACCTGCATCACTGTGCCGAGGTAGCAGCTGTTGCCCAGGTTTTTGACGCCCGTGTAACCAGAACCAAACACCGCCTTCAGCTTCATGCCCGACTCCTGGATCACCTCCCATTCACTGACCCGCTGCCGGGAGTTATTGTCTGTGTGGTGACCATTCTCTGTCTGAAGGAGGAGAGAGAGTTTGGTGTGAAACGTTTGCTGGGGAAGCCTCACATTTTGGTTTTGGTTTGGTTCGTTCATAGCTAAGACAACTTACTGTTCTGTTCTGCATCTGTAGCATGTCTATTCCAAAGTGTGACAAGTGTTCTGATATGTGCGGGTCCAACACAGCTTCCTCCTCCTCAAATGAGTAGATATCTGAAAGCAAAAGAACTTAGTTAGTCACTATGATGAGCCTGATTTTTTTATTTCTGGTCAGCAAATCCACCCTACCTTACAACCACTTTATAAGGTAAACCTGTAAAATCTAATGTATTATTTACAGACACGAGTGGGGTAAAACATTATAAACACCTCTCAGTAAAAAGCTATACATCACATCACATCATCATTGCTAACAAAATCCTCAAAAATAAATACAAAATCAACAAAAACTGATATGATACATAATAACCTGGTAAGTCTGTGTATATAACCTTCAAATCATACCATTTGAACACAGGATTATACAATATGAGGCTACTATTACATGCCATCCAAACAACGAACAAATTAGGAAAAAGGACACTGATCGTTAACACCATGTAGTCATTCAGATTCTGGATTCATGCAACTGTTTAGATCACTGGTTCTTACATTATACCGTTTCTCACTGGTCATACGCAAGTTGCCTCTAGTGGTATGCCAAGGAATATCTAACATATTTTTTAAACAATTACAAAAATGTATTTAAAAACATACAATACTATCAAAATACTACAAAATTTAGAGATCGCTTGAAAAGTTTTGCTGTAGTACTTGTAATATTTTGTTGGTACACACTGTAAAAAGTTTGGAAAATGCTGGTTTGGATAATAATTTGTGTGTCAGACCTGCTCCATCTGGTGTGATAGTGTCCATTTTGACAGCCAGGGGGTAGTTGGTCTCTCTGTAGTGTTCCAGAGCATGGCCATTGCCTCCGCTCCCATCAAAGAACCACTTCCCACAGAGCACTGCTCCATCTGTCAGGTTCAGCCACAGGTTTTCTCTCATCTCACACTTCTGACACTTCCAGCCACTGATGACAAAGAAACAGAGACTCTTGTTACTGATGTGTTGTTGTTTTTTTAAAACTCAGCAGCTGCAGAAGTGATCAGATTTACATTTTGACTGTTTTCAGACTGGATAAAAGGGGCAAACAGCAAGAGACAAAGTAATATAGTCATGCATTGACTTGCAAATCTTAAAACTCATAATAAAACAAAATTTTTGCCAACACTGAGAGTAGAATGTAAAAGATTTCAGAAAGTTTTGAAAACTTCCTGTGTAAAAAGACACTTGGGATAATGATGAGCAATGACTTCCTCTTCTTAAATGCCACACAAATACAACTGTTCCCGTCTACCCACAGAAGGCACACTGCATTAGTGATACAGTGGTGTATCTTCTTGGTGCCAGTCCTACCTAGGCGGGATCCTGACCCCATTATCCAGCTGTCTGAGGCTCCTGGCATGTCTGGACACCTGAATCTCCTCCTCCCAGGATTCAAGCTCCTGCTTCTTATAAGCTGATGGAGCATTGAGCACTGCGTCACAGGCAATGGTCACCTGAACGTCAGATGAAACAGCAGAGACATAATTAACTTCTGGAAGATGGTGCGATTGAAGTTATGCATAAAATATATCATCCTTCTTCTTAAAAGAAAACTTACGGGTTCTGTTTTTAACTCTGCACTTGTCAGATATATAAAAAAATATTTTTACTGCTGTAGGAACTTCTCTCAATGTACCTTTAATGTAAGTCATCAATAACAGTAAATAGAAAGGACAATATCAGACATGCAAGATCTATGCAAGACATTGTGAAGCTGTGCCACATAAAGCGATTTATCCAGCATACAGGACGCCACTATATTGATACTGCAGCATAGAGACAAACCATGCAAAACATTTTAAAACAAGAAGAGTAGTCACCAGGTGTTAACCCAGTAAATGTAAACATCACAATTTGTACATTCACAACATTAAAGAATGCATGCATAAAATAATTTGGGAAATGAAACCCTGTGACATGCCAAAAGTAAGCCTTGTTCAATGTAGAAGCTCAAACTGCTCTAAAAACAAAAAACAGGAGTAAAATGCCTCCTCTGCACTCCATGCACAAGCAGTGGCACACAGAGCCAAAAGTGGCACCTCTACAGTACGTGCATCCAGTGGTTCCCCAGACACTTTTCTTGGCAAACAGAAGCCTATGAAACAACCTTTATTTCAAAACCTTTCAGCAAAACTTTTAGGTAAGCAAACAGCTACTACAGGTCTGAGCTGCTTCCACAAATTATATTGAGTGCAAAGGTTTAGATTACTGACCATGAAACTCTCACGTAAACCTAAACAGATCAATAGATTTAGGCTTTAGGAAGACCAGCCTGTCTGTACAGTGACAGGGGAACCACTGAGTCCGCCCCCTCCCACCCAATCGACATGCATGGAAACACACAGAGCCCGTGCAGCACCGACTCACTGACCAGAGCGGGCAACTCCTCAATATTTGGTAACGGGATCTCGAAGTGGTCCGGAAAAATGACGAGCTTGGCCTCGTCTTCATATTCATAGTCCTCTCCGTTAAAATCACGGTTTAGCTCTAAATCTACAGGGGAGGAAGTGAACATCCAGTCAGCTACTGGTAGACAGTGACTGATGTTAGCATGGCAAGATCGAGTTTGTTCTTGGTTATTTTTATTTTATGTTCTGAGTGTGAAATCTGTTCTTTTTTATGTTCCTTCTTTGTTCATCTAGTCAGTACCATAATAGTCTGATGATGCAGCAAGTACAAAGAGATGAATCCTTGAACAAGAGAACCATCTATGGCATCTTTTTTTTTTTACTACAACAGTGACAGGTGACTTTTAAGCACAGACACAATTCATGTGGAGCTATATTTAAGATTTTACTCATATCTCATATCAGCAGCAACAAACAGTATAGTTACTGAGGAGTACTGAGGATAGTTTTGTCTGTGCAGCTACAGCACCCTCATTTATTTATCACATAATGAAACCAAATGATCAAAATTAGGGTATGATTGGTCTATAAAATGTCAGAAATAGTGAAAAATGTCTATCACACTTTACTTAAGTTCAATAAGACATCTTGTTGTCTGACCAACAGTTGAAAATCCAAAGTCTTTTAGATTACTGTAGAGCTGAAACAATTAGTCTACTACTACAATGTTTCTGATAACTGAATAATCCTTCGCCTTATCTGGTTCCAGATAGTTTTCTGCTTTCTTGGTTTTATATTGCTGTAACTGTATCTCTTAAAATGTAAAAATGTGAAGACATCACCCTGGGCTATAGGAACTTTTGATGGATATATTTTTTTAGACTAAATGATGAATCAATGAATCGAGAAAATAATCTGCAGATTAATCAGTAATGAAAACAATTAGTTTCATCCCTCGTTTACGATCAACTAAGACAAAGAGCGGAGTAAACTCCTCATAATGAAGAGGCTAGGACCAGAACATTTCTTGCATTTTTGCTGGAAAAACAATCACATTCAATTTTCTGTCGCCTATTAGATTAATCAACTAATAACTTCAGCTCTAATCAAAATGATTTCAAGAAACACTTTCTGAAATCTAGAGAGAGCCTCTTCTCTCCGTATAGAGTTGTCTGTCCTCCGCTCCAGCCTAAAGTCGTGTAATGACTCATGAGAAACAGGATCATATGTTATCCCTGGCATTGTTATTGTGCCTGCTGGTTTCATGGTAACATCTGACGTTACCAGCTAGCGGCTTGATTAGATCACTGGTCTGGTATGGAGGTGATGAAGGGCACATCCATACATGCCCGCGGACACATCAAACATCCAAAATGGACGACAGTAAGAATCATGCCAGACAAGAAGAGGCTGACAAATTCAGAGTCAGACGTCAGACTAGCGGGATGACCTAATGTACAGCAGTCAGATCGAAGGCGGTAAAATCTATTAAACTCAACAATAAGACAACAGGAACATCAATTACATCGAGGTTGAGTGGAAGGAATTCCTCCCACGCCAAGCCAGCAGTGAGGAAGGGAGGGAGGAAGGGACAGAGGGAGGGAGGGAGGGAGGGAGAAAGACACCTGGTCCTCTCTGAGCAGCGTCATAGCTGCAGTAGAAGTGTGTCAGTCTATAAGGGAGGTTGACAGGTGGTGGCAGCTGAGAGGCCGGCGACCAGCCATCTCCTCCCCACACCGAGGAGGAGGAGGAAGAGAAGGAGGAGGAGGAGGAAGAGGAGGAGGGGAGTAGGCCAGGCATTGATTTAGAACAGTTACCAACCACATATACAAATAAATGGTCTATATTTGGAGCACAGGAGGAGGAGGAGGAGGCCTCATCATAGGAAATATCTGACGCTTTGGGTAAAGGCTGGCCGGAGGGGCAGCTGGTGGGTCACCACAGTGTAACAAACAATAACACCAGCTCGTAACGGAGGGGGGTCCTCTTAGAGGAGAGGGGTGTTTCTGAGCACACAAATCACATTTACTTTATTATTAAAACACCAACTCAATGCAAAACATGTTAAATTAATCCAGAGCTGCACCTTTGTTCTGTCACCAACAAGCCTCATTTGGTTTTCAGTTATGATGGAAATACCAGGGACCAAGAGGGGTTAAGTCTAAATACAGTACAATCCAATACAATGAATTATCAAAAAATAAACCAATGATGCGCAGCTATCTACTTGGGACTTGTTTCAGATGTCTATTAGTTACAAAAACTTCAAAAACAAAATTCTTTTGAACTTTTGATTGTTTCATTTTAAGCATAGATTAGATTAACCCCCTCTGTAAACCTACAATATAACTGTATTTAAAAATCTAAGGATGTTTTATACAGTAATATAATAATCACAAGGGCCATTTTACTGCACAACAAGCACTTTAATAATTTGAGTTCATTTTACTGATGATATTCTGTGTCTCACTGCAGGATTTTCACTTGTAATGGAGTACTTTTTACACTGTGGAATTGATATTTTTACTTCAGTAAAGGAATACTTCTTCCACCACTCTCTCTAGCTCACAAGCAAACCTAACTTACCTAGAAACACTTTTCCATTTCTTCGTCTGGGGATGGCGCCCCCTGCAGCTCCTGTGGCTTTCTGTGGGAAAGAGAAAGGAGGTTAAACTGGATTAAAGAACCCTCATCACATTAAAAACACATTGTAAAAAAAAATACTGTTATGCTTTGCTGTTACAGAAAGTCCAGATGGTTGTCATTTTGATAGAAATAGATGCTGGATGTTCCAGTTGTCAGGTCAGGTTACAGGGCAAGGGGAAACCCCCCTTACATGTCAAAGTCAAAATTAAAGAATGATAAATGAAACTGCTTTAGTTGCACTGTTTGATTTGTTGACTTGGACAGATATCATTTACAGTCTGTTAAACGTCATGTGTTTGGGCCTGTCTTTGCTTGTAGAGTGTGATGTCACTTTCCTTTTTTTTCCACTATACACTGTCCACACTGGTAGAAAAATAAAATTAAATCATCAAGACGGACAGGTTTTAAAGCAGCAAACAAAAGACACTTCACTGTCAGTGAATCCACTAAAACGTGACTCTGCCAAATGGCTAACTGGCAGCCAAACAACCCAGTACCACCGACTGGTTTGCTGTTAATCCATTCAGATTCAGGTGACTGCTTCCCATTCGCTCAGCAGGGAGGAGGAGAGACTGACAGAAAGACAGAGAATGCTGACACATTCGCGACCAAGTGGACTCATGGGAAAAAAAAAAAACAGCAGACACAGGAGCCTGCAGAATGTGAGCAGCTGTTTCTGGCCAGATCCCGGCATGGAAATAGCAGCTCTTTACAAAGCAGAGCTTATCTGAGGGCAATTAGAGCCAGTGAGAAAACACAGCAGCGGCTAAGGTCTTTGTTGTTTACCATCAACTTTTTATAATAGGGCTCGTTTTGGGTGTGCTTTGTTGAATGTTTTATACCTACAAGGATGGACAAAATAACAGAAACACCTTACAACATAATGCAATCCCAGGCAACACCACCACAAACTTCAAAAGTTGAATCAATAGTCGTCTGCCTCAGTCTCAACTAAAATGTAACAATCTTTGAAAGTATTTGTTTCAGGGTTGTTGCTTTAGATTGCATCTATTGCAAGATGGTTCTGTTATTTTGTCCACCTCGCCCACTAACGTAAACTGATTCTGTTACTTTAAATGTTGTGTTGTTCAGTAAAGTCTTATTATTATAAATATTTTAATTTATTTGAAGTAACTTTCCAGTAACATTAACATAGTGGTAACTAATAATAATCCTATGAGTAAAAGTATGATCGTAAAATGTGTCAAGAACTGCATTCGTAATTAGAGCATTTTTATAAAAATAAAACAAACACTTGCTCTGTAAATAGTTGTCCTACTCTTTTGGTCAAAAGCATTGTTCTGAAGTTCATATCTTTTTGAGGCTGTTCATTAAATAGTGTTCTAATAAATATAGTAACTGATCAACCCATATCAATTTCAAGCTTAAATGTACAGCTTCATGTTAGTCCTGCCCATTTCCGTTTTGAGCACCACCCGTTCTGTTTATATGTCCAGTTTAGGCCCCGCCCATTCCAAGTGCAGATATTAATACAGATAACTCAGTTGGTTGAACAGATACAGGTAATGGCTTACTCACTCATCCCTAGCGGTAACACTTAATTTCTTGGGTCTATATTTTCAGAATATTTGCTTTTGCTTTGCATTTAAAACAAGACAATTTCTTGGAAAAAAATATGTAAAAGTGGTGCTAATTATAGGGAAAATAAGAATTATCTTTAAAGAAGCACTCAAGTTAAACCCAAGTAAATATTAATTCATCATCATTTATTATTGGAAACTTTAATTTCTGTATATATTGAATTGTATTGAACAAATATCACATTTTGTCTGTTCAGTTTACCTACTGTGCACCGAAAATAAGACTCTGAATAATTAATTAGAAAAGTACCAAATGAAAGGTATAATTTCCACATAATTAGTACCAAATTACCAGTTTCCTTCTGAGAAACTTTACCAATACAGATACAAAGAGAACAGTGTAAAAGGTTATAGTTGTGATATGGGAGTACAGACAGATACAGAGCTGAAAACATATCAAGTGTTAGCTATAAACACTCAGACAGTCCTCAGTCTGAAGGTCAAAAATAGTCCAATGAAAAGGCTGAAACAACAATTAATATTTTTATCTCTCTTTAAATGAATGTTGATGACAAAGCATTCAAGTACATGCAGGACAAACAATGTAATTCAATGACAGATATTAAAAACAATGGCATTATGATATCCACCATTCCGGTCACACAGTGTACGGTTTTATCTAAAGCAGCTTACAGTGTTGTATAGTTCTAACTGAAATACACAGTGTTACTGCAAGTCTCTCTATTTATCATAAGTAAGAAGTATACCAATGTTTAATAAATTGTTTATAACACACTATAAAGGTAGTTATAAGAAAAAATTAGGACATGTTTAAGTGTTTATAAATGTACAGTATTTGTCAATTCTAACTGCTCCTACAAAGACATTTTAAATTAGTACAACTGTGTTTAACTATCTTGTCTTTCATTATTTGTTTATACAGTAGCCTCCAATTATGGGTGCCCACACGAGGAGTTATTGTTAGTAACAAATACATTAATACACACAGCTACATTATAGTGTTTTATAGCCCATTTATTAAATGTTTAGGGGTTAAAATAAAGTGTTACCCATGTTTCAATTCCATCTTACTATTCTTCCACATTACATGTTACAAGACTCTCAAAGTGTATTAATATTTTGTGTATAACTACGCCAAGTATGAAATAAATCAGTTTTAAATCCTTTGGATGCAACTCAGATCTGCCTAAAGCAAACATCAGTATCATAACTGAAACTCAAAAAAGTATAAAATTGGTTGTAACCACTTTATCATGGTTGTATTGGACTCTTCTGTTATAATGTGATTTATAAAGGCACTGTGTAAACTGGGGTGCTGTTAATAATCAGTGCTCAATAGACATACAGGGCAGGAGTAAAACGTACCTCTTTGACGTGTCGTTTGAGGTGCATGTAAACACTCTGTCCTGTTTTGCGATAATGTCTCTCCACATGTTCTCGTCCAAAGCCCAGGAATGTGTTCATACACACATACAGTCCTCCCTCTGACTCCTGCAGGACCAAAACAAACAGTTGACAATGAACAGCAGCACGAAGTGACCGACCATCAACACAACAGCACATTTAACACTGAAAAACGTGAAGTGCGTATATTACACAGAAAATCGGTTTTATCTTTATTATAGGTCTTTGAATTGGTATCCTCCATGTTTATTGTGCCTAACTGTAGACTACATATAGTGTATCATATATATTCTCACATGTATTCCCTCTAACAATACCTTTTCTAATCTGTTAAAAAACAAGAGTGAAAAGAGAATAATAATTTCAGCTTCAAGAAAAGTATTGTGATGTACTGTACTTTGTTACACACTACTTGGCACTAGTTATACACTATATCTGCAAAACTTTACACAACATGTAATGCAAGTAAGAGATGATGTGCCAATGATCCTGCAAGCACATTTTCAAAAAGGCCATCTTGCCAGACCGCCAAAAATCTGTTCCGCCACAAAAAAAATACCCCTTTTATCGAGCCTGCTGCTGTGAAGCCTGTTTTTAATTGTAAGGCCATAAAATTATAGTCACTTTTTTTACACATTATTTTAGCCAAATAATGTCTCAAAAATGGGATAAATCTCTGATAAAGATTTATCTTATTGTCTATTTTCTTTTTTAAAAGCAGTTTGATGGATCCATTTTGCTGATTTTGTTTCAACTAAAGATGTGCATCCTGTTACAAGCAGCAACACACAAATGCATTTAATTGACAAAAGTAGAACCTCTATGCTTTTAGGGCACTGGGGACCTGCAGGTTTTTGCTACAGTTTAAAAACACAGTACCCTCAGTCCTGATAAAACTGCTGCGTGTCTGTGGACTGAGCCCCACACGTCACATCTCAAGCTGACTGTCTAAAACATCATTTCGTCACATTCAGAAGCTCCGTATGCGAGCAGTGAAGCACATTTAACACGTTCACATCAAGAAAACCCTTTCAAAACTAACCTAAATCTGCAATCAGTGTAGGCCTTATAAACCCCCTGTGATAAACCTTTAAGTGGCCCAGAGTGACATATGAGCTTCAACAGTGCAAGGATATAAATAACCCAGTCCTCAGGCCAACATGATGAACTCCAGACAGCTGAGTCACCTTTAAAAACGGTTTCAGTCGAGAAAGTAGGTTTTTTTTGTTGTATGTAGAATCTGTTAAGAGCCTAAAACTCAGACTTTCTGTTTTTCACATACCTTTACAGGTAGGCCTACAGGGAAGGTTGAACTCTGCATCAATACTTCAGATTGAAAAGTTTTTAAAAAAGTTTAATAATTCAAAATATTCAGTATTTTGATGCCCTATCATGATTGCCTTAATCACAGAACAACCAGAGAAAGACAACAACTAAATAAACACTTGCATTAAAATGTGGGTCATGAGATTTCACATGAACTTTCTAGTGACATAATAACATTAAAACATCCTATAAAGCCCCCCCACAGACTCACTATTGAGTATAAAAACTCACTTTAAGTAAATATATGACTCATACAATACTACCATGGATAGCATGATTTTTTGATTAGTCACTGTAAGCTCACAGAAGTGAATCCTAACTGTGCATCACACAATCAACTGATGGTTATAGGCTACAAAAACACACTGCTGAGAGCCTATAATGGTGGAAGCATTGTATAAGCACCACTGACACAATACAAGTCCATTTTAAAGGCAAATTCTAAATTACAAACACACCATAAAGTGGCTGCAAAGTCACTACAGAGCGACACACACACACACACACAACAGCTGTTTCCTACAAGCTGACAGGCCTGCTGAATCTTTTAAAAATCAATCCAAAGCTCAGAGCAGGTGTGTTTGCTGGTGCATTTAATGGCTGAATTGGCAAATATGGCCCTGAAGTGGACCAACTGCCTCTCCCTGCACAAAGGGAACCCCTCCAGCCCTCTCTCTCTCTCTCTCTTCCTCTCTCCGTCTCCTGAGATGTAAACAACATTTAATTATTTATTTCTCTTTCACGCTCACGGGGAGGAAGGCGGCCACGGAGAGACACACACACACAAACACAATACGGCCGCAGATTCACGTGTGTGTGTGCGCTCATATCAGACTTGTCCAGCCCGCCTGCGACGCACAGTCCTCGCCCACCCTCTCCTACTACCATCACCCGCAAAACCAGCCGCTCCTGTCTCGCTGTGTGTGTGTGTGTGTGTGGACACTTACGGGAGAGTCGAAGGAAAAGGCGCACTCGCTCTTGAAAACCCTGTCTCCTGTCCTGGGCACCCTGATGGTGGGCATGTAGGGGACCAGCAGCTCTCCTAGGTCTGTAGCCATCTTCGCATTCCTGCTTCTCGCAGCACAGTGCCGCGGAGCCACCGGAGCAGCGCTGTCAGAGGAGAGGATGCTATTTTTAAAGCACTCCGTCTCTACATTCCTCCAGCCAGAGGGACGTGACGCTGAAAAACATAAAAATAAAATGACAGAGGGGGCGGAGGGCTGCGCTGCCGCTGCGCACGGTGCGAGCCTAAGGACGTGAAGGCTAATGTTGTTTTTCTTCTTGCAACAAAAAAAAAGGAAAAAGGAAAGGAAGAAGCTTTGACCTGCGCAGATATTACATGGCTACTGTTGACTGTGTGGTGACGCTCTGTGCACACAGGGATATTTTACCAGAAGGGCCCCTCCCACCTCTGAGGGTGATTCATAAAGCCACCCACACTTACTACAGCATGCCCCCCCTCCCTCCAGGATTCAGGGAAAGCGGGATTATTAGGTGCTCTTTGAGTTTTGATAGCTGCTGACTGTAGTATCCTACAAGACTGCATTCATCTGCAGGAGCTTTTGTTGTTTAAATTTTTTTTTTTTTTAAATAGAATAAAATGTATTTCTCGGTAGCATTATGCGTTTATAATAAAGAAAATCCCGTGCATCTTATCTAAAATGTGATTTATACAACCACATCATCTGCAAAGAGTCCCTTTGTCCATCAGACAACATTCATCTAGTCTGCACAGCTCTGCCTCCAGGTGGACACTCTGCTTAATTGCAAAAAAAATACAAATTGTTGCCAAAACTTGAATCCACTAACAAAAAAAAACTTTCCCCATGCAATGTGTCCTTAATGCTTCATACTCCGGTATTAAAAGGATTCATCTCAATTTGTAATCCCACAAATGTTCAGTGTACAGTGCATCTGGAAAGTATTCACAGTGCTTCACTTTTTCCACATTTTGTTATGTTACAGCCTTATTCCAAAATGGATTCAATTCATTTTTTCTACACATAATACCCCATAATGACAACTTAAAAAAAGTTTGTTTGAGATTTTTGCAAATTTATTAAAAACAAAGAACGAAGAAATCACTTGTACATAAGTATTCACAGCCGATCAAGTTTAAAATTGAGCTCAGGTGCATTCTGTTACCACTGATCATCCTTGAGATGTTCCTGCAGCTTAATTGGAGTCCACCTGTGGTAAATTCAGTTGATTGGACATGATTTGGAAAG